GAGCTGCAGCCCTTAAAGGCAGCAATTCCAGTTCCAGTCACGGAGTTGGAAATGCTCACGCTTGCCAATGAGCTGCAGCCTTCAAAGGCACACTGTCCAATCTCAGTCACGGGGTCGGAAATGGTCACGCTTGCCAATGAGCTGCAGCCTCTCAAGGCACAATCTCCAATGACATTCACGGAGTTGGGGATGGTCACGCTTGCCAATAAGCTGCTGCCTGCAAAGGCAGAATCTCCAATCCCAGTCACGGAGTTGGGAATGGTCACGCTTGCCAATGACCTGCATCCTGCAAAGGCATGATCTCCAATCGCTGTCACAGAGTTGGGAATGGTCACGCTTGCCAATGAGCTGCAGCCTTCAAAGGCAGCAAATCCGATTCCAGTCACAGATTTGGAAATGGTTACGCTTACCAATGAGCTGCAGCCTTTGAAGGCATCATCCTCAATCTCAATCACGTCTTCGGGAATCTCCACAAATCTTCCGCTTCGCAGCTGGAGGCTTTGAAGCTTGAGCACACTACCGGCTGGATGCTGAGGAAAGCTAGGACTTCTGCACCTGGAATGGCCTCTGACACTAGCTCCTCTTTGTTCAATGGAATGGCCTCTGACACTAGCTCCTCTTTGTTCAATAGGGGCTTGTCTCCAACAACCACCTCCACCGAGCTCATGTTGCGCTTGGATTCATCTTCGCAGGGAAGCCAAGCGTGCAGCTGCCTCTTGAATTCACGGATGGTCGTGTGGGTGGACACTACGAATGAGTCTTCCTCCCCAGACAGCTGTCTTACGGCAATCTCCCTCGTCATGGCTGGCATCTGTTTGACCTCCCAAACATGTGGCTTCCTTAAAACCTCGCTCTGAACCACCCCCAGAAAGGGGTGTCCTCAAAACATGTATCTGGATGGTTGTTGACAGCATGGCCAGCCCAGTTGAAGCCCCGGAGTTTCTTCGGCGCGCAAACACTTCCGTCAGGGTTGCGACCTGTTTGTTGGGCAAGCAGCAATTGAGCCAACTCTGCTTCATTCTCACGGGATGTTGACCCACAAAGTTGGTTCTAGCCAAGGGAACTAACCTCCGTTGCTTCGGAACCATGACCATGGCAGCACCTACTGACAGTGTATGTTCAACATCCAGGTAAGCCGGGGCGAGGGGGGCACTTAGAAGGTGAGAACTCCAGGGTGATTTAGACTCCAGCGTGACAGCATAAAGTACGCCGATCCAAATCATTGAGCATGGAGACAATGGCCTCCTAACATGAAAGTGCACAGGCTCGCCTTCTAGGAACGTCGTCTTGAAGGGCCGAACGTGCACTTTCATGAAAGAGTGGAGGAGATTCCATCTTCAAGGGCGAACGCTCGTTGCCGAAATACAACCCAGAAAGTCACACCCACTCGATCTTCTGCAACTACCCCCGCCCATAGGTTGGCCCAGACAAGTCGATTTGTCCGCTGACGAGTGGGTCACAACCCTAGCTAAACATGGCAGAACCACCTCCAAAAACGACCCTTCTCTGGGTTTTGGGCGCTCAGCTGAAACTAAAAAATACCCTTGTATTGAACCTTCATGAGTGAGACAGTTGAGCTCGTTTCCCCAGTGGTGAGCTTGTTGGGTCAGGGCACATCCGGGGCCCTTGGATCGTTGCACCTAGGATGTCCCAAACAAGTCCGGACGTGTCTGTAAAAGATCACCCCTGCGTTTCACATGAGTCAAGAGGAAACTTCGTTTGGGCGCGACCCTATTTTGATTTGATCTTCCATGATTCGCAAAGAAACATTACACTTCCGACGCCTTCCGCCCTGGCCCGCCCCCCACTTTCTTTTTGGCGCCGTACCAGATCACGGCCGTTGTCGGAATCACCGAAACGGCCACATCATGTGACCGAAGCGGCTCTGGGGCCAAGCGTCGCGCTTTCGAAGGGCTTGACGCCAAGTTCGGGCGTGCAAGCGCGCGGCAACATGTGGGAAACACTCAAAATTAGGAACCCGGGGATCGCATGTTCTACAAACTGGGGGTTGGAAACCCAAATTAGCAACATTGTCGCCATACTCCAAGCTGCAAAAGTCTTCATGTCCCATCTGACTCCAAAAGGAAGATGCAGCCTTCAAAGGCACGTTCTCCGATACAAGTCTCGGAGTTGGGAATGGTCACGCTTGCCAATGAGCTGCATCCTGCAAAGGCATAATCTCCAATCTCAGTCACAGACTCAGGAATGGTCACGCTTGCCAATGAGCTGCAGCCTGCAAAAGCATAATCGCTGATCCCAGTCACAGAGTTGGGAATAGTGACGCTTGCCAGTGAGCAGCAACCTTGAAAGGCACGTTCCCGAATCTCGGTCACAGAGTTGGGAATAGTGACGCTTGCCAGTGAGCAGCAACCTTGAAAGGCACGTTCCCGAATCTCGGTCACAGAGTTGGGAATGGTCACGCTTGCCAATGAGCTGCAGCCTGCAAAAACAAAATCACTGATCCCAGTCACAGAGTTGGGAATGGTCACGCTTGCCAATGAGCTGCAGCCTTCAAAGACACCATCTCCTACCTGAGTCACGGAGTTGAAAATGGTCAAGCTTGACAATGAGCTGCAGCCTCTGAAGGCAAAGTATCCAATCTCAGTCACGGAGTTGGGAATGGTCACGCTTGCCAATGAGCTGCAGCCTTTGAAGGCAGCATCCTCAATCGCAATCACGTCTCCGGGAATCTCCACAAATCTTCCACTTCACAGCTGGAGGCTTGGAAGCTTGAGCACACTACCGGCTGGATGCTGAGGAAAGCTAGGACTTCTGCACCTGGAATGGCCTCTGACACTAGCTCCTCTCTGTTCACCAGGGGCTTGTCTCCAACAACCACCTCCACCGAGCTCATGTTGCGCTTGGATTCATCTTCGCAGGGAAGCCACGCGTGCAGCTGCCTCTTGAATTCACGGATGGTCGCGTGGGTGGACACTACGAATGAGTCTTCCTCCCCAGACAGCTGTCTTACAGCAATCTCCCTCGCCATGGCTGGCATCCGTTTGACCTCCCAAACATGTGGCTTCCTTAAAACCTCGCTCCGAACCACCCCCAAACAGGGGTGTCCTCAAAACATGTATCTGGATCGGTTGTTGACAGCATGGCCAGCCCAGTTGAAGCCCCGGAGTTTCTTCGGCGCGCAAACAATTCCGTCAGGGTTGCGACCTGTTTGTTGGGCAAGCAGCAATTGAGCCAACTCTGCTTCATTTTTACGGGATGTTGACCCACAAAGTTGGTTCTAGCCAAGGGAACTAACCTCCGTTGCTTCGGAACCATGACCATGGCAGCACCTACGTTCAACATCCAGGCAAACCAGGGCGAGGGGGGGGGGCACTTAGAAGGTGCGAACTGCAGGGTGGTTTAGACTCCAGCGTGACGGAATATACTACGCCGATGATCCAAATCATTGAGCATGGAGACAATGGCCTCCCAACATGAATCAATGAAAGTGCACAGGCTCGCCTTCTAGGAACGTCGTCTTGAAGGGCCGAACGTGCACTTTCATGAAAGAGTGGAGGATATTCCATCTTCAAGGGCGAACGCTCGTTGCCGAAATGCAGCCCAGAAAGTCACACCCACTCGATATTCTCCAACTACCCCCCCATATCTCACTTCCTGAGTGGGTTGGCCCAGACAAGTCGATTTGTCCACCACTAAAATTGCCCAAGCCCAAAAAGCGTCCAACTCAGGCAGCGAATGTTGAGGATTAATTTTGGCAAGGCAGCTGCAGATTGGGCTACCGGTGGGTGTACCCGTAGTTTCCGAATTACTTTCCCCGTACTCCAACATCGTTACCTGCCAAACACACATATTGATCTGGGCAGAACATCATCTAGGTTCTACTTACCCCAATGAGCATACCCCCAAAATCTGTGGTTACACACGAATGATAATGGTGGTACAGGCAGGTTGCATCCATGATACCCTTAGTCCATCGCCCCAATCCCGAGCTGACGAGTCTGGGTCACAACCCTAGCTAAACAAGGCAGAACCACCTCCCAAAACGGCCCTTTCGGGGTTTTGGGCGCTCAGCTGAAAATAGAAAATACCCTTGTATTGAACCTTCATGAGTGAGGCAGTGAGCTCGTTTCCCCAGTGGTGAGCTTGTTGGGTCAGGGCACATCCGGGGCCCTTGGATCGTTGCACCTAGGATGTCCCAGGCAAGTCCGGACTTGTATGTAAAACATCACCCCTGCGTTTCACATGAACTCCACCCTCTGTTGAGACAAGAGGAAACTTCGTTAGGGCGCGACCCCATTTTGATTTGATCTTCCATGATTCGCAAAGAAACATTACACTTCCGACGCCTTCCGCGCCCGCCCCCCACTTTCTTTTTGGCGTACCAGATCACGGCCGTTGTCGGAATCACCGAAACGGCCACATCATGTGACCGAAGCGGCTCCGGGGCCACACTTCGCGCTTTCGAAGGGCTTGACGCGAAGTTCGGGCACGCAGGCGTGCGGCAACATGGGTGGAACTCTCAAAATTAGGAACCCGGGGATCGCATGTTCTACAAACTGGGGGTTGGAAACCCAAATTAGCAACATTGTCGCCATACTCCAAGCTACAAAAGCCTTCATGTCCCATCTGACTCCAAAAGGAAGATGCAGCCCTCGAAAGCTCGTACTCCGATATAAGTCTCGGAGTTGGGAATGGTCACGCTTGCCAATGAGCTGCATCCTGCAAAGGCATAATCTCCAATCTCAGTCACAGACTCAGGAATGGTCACACTTGCCAATGAGCTGCAGCCTGCAAAAGCATAATCGCTGATCCCAGTCACAGAGTTGGGAATACTCGGTCACAGAGTTGGGAATAGTGACGCTTGCCAGTGAGCAGCAACCTTGAAAGGCACGTTCCCGAATCTCGGTCACAGAGTTGGGAATGCTCACGCTTGCCAATGAGCTGCAGTCTGCAAAGACACCATCTCCTACCTGAGTCACGGAGTTGGGAATGGTCACGCTTGCCAATGAGCTGCAGTCTGCAAAGACACCATCTCCTACCTGAGTCACGGAGTTGGGAATGGTCACGCTTGCCAATGAGCTGCAGCCTTCAAAGGCACAGTGTCCAATCTCAGTCACGGAGTCGGCAATGGTCACGCTTGCCAATGAGCTGCAGCCTCGGAAGGCATAATATCCAATCACAGTCACTGAGTTGGGAATCGTTACGCTGGCCAATGAGCTGCAGCCTTGAAAGGCACCTGTTCTAATCGAGGCGACGGAGTTGGAAATGGTCACGCTTACCAATGAGCTGCAGCCTTTGAAGGCATCATCCTTAATCGCAATCACGTCTCCGGGAATTTCCACAACCAACAAATCTTCCACTTCGCAGCCGGAGGCTTTGAAGCTTGAGCACACTACCGGCTGGATGCTGAGGAAAGCTAGGACTTCTGCACCTGGAATGGCCTCTGACACTAGCTCCTCTTTGTTCAATAGGTGCTTGTCTCCAACAACCAGCTCCACCGAGCTCATGTTGCGCTTGGATTCATCTTCGCAGGGCAGCCACGCATGCAAATGCCTCTTGAATTCACGGATGGTCGTGTGGGCGGACACTACGAATGAGTCTTCCTCCCCAGACAGCTGTCGCACGGTAATCTCGCGTGCCATAGCTGGCATCCGTTCGACCAGTGCGCCAAACAGCATTCTTTTAGTTTCCCTCCAAACCAACCCCAAACAGGGTACCCTAAAACAAGTCGCTCAAAGATTGACCGTTGTTGCCGTACGGAACGCGCAAGTTGCCCAAAAGGCCAATGGCTTTTTAACACGGGGTGATCTTTTATTGGGATCGGCCGGAAGTTTCTGAGCTTTGATGATCGGCGCAGCAACCCTCCACATCGAGTCCGGGTCTTTTTGTTTTTTCCTGCCTGAAATTGGTGGGTTTTCCTGTTGTTCCTTTCAAAGTTTCTCTTTAAAACCCAATAACAGTCGATCCCTCAAGACGGAGACCCATCCACTGTCAGCATCCATCCCACCCCGGCACCCTGGCACGGCTCGAACCGAAGAAAACAAAAAAGCCACGACTCAGTTGCCCAGGTACATGCTCGCTCAAAAAGGACAGAAAACACGAGAAAAACACCGGAAAGGTCGACTCAGCTTTGGGCCAATGAGACAGGAGCACTCATTTCCGATCGAGCGGAAGTGCCAAAAACAGTCCAAAGTTTTTAAAGTGGTACACTTGAAGCGTTTTGGGATGTTTTGGGTTGCCATGTTAGTGGCAACTAGGTTTTTCTCCGCCACTCAAATGGCAACCCAAGAAGCTTCAAGTGTGCCGCTGGAGCTCTGAGTTCTTTGTTTGGCGCTTCGAGCCGAGCCGCGTGGTCCATGAGATCGCCATCTGGATCCTGGGAATGGAAACAGAGAGTCCCAATCAAAACCCGGGATTAATATGGTCTAGCCAGAACCATGTAAAGAATTATGAAGGCGGCCACAACTTTTTCAAATTTCAGGCTTGGCTGGGACTGCCCCTTACTAACCTTCATCTACCCAGGTTTTGATTGTGGCTCACCTGGAGTCTCCATAACCCTTAAAACCTGGGTGGGGTCAGTACCAACTAGGTCCTCCAGTAGAGAGGTTAGAATAAGGGTACCAACTTTTTTCCGTCTATGTAAGTAGGGGAACCCTAAACCCCAGAAAAGTTGGTAAAAGGGCACCTAGCCGGGGGACCTAGACACAGACCTGGAGTCTCCATAATCCTTAAAACCTGGGTGGAGTCATTAACAAAACAATGGGAGCATGGACCCATTTGTTGAGAGGCTCATGGAGACTTCAGGGAGACACACAGAGACAAAGAGGCAGAAACGCAAACGCTTTGAGCGGACACACCACACAGCACAGCACAGCATTTTTACAGAGACACAAACACCAACACACACACACACACAGAACTCGGTTGCTTTCTGCTCCCCTGCTAAAAGTTTAACTTTTAGTGGTTTAATGGAAAACCCATGAGTTGGCAAAAAGTTAAAGTCCTAACATCCAAGCAAAATGCACCTGTACACACACACACACACGAACACGCACGCGTGCCCACACACACACACATGCACATGCCCCTGACAGCAGCCTGGGGAAGGACCAACATAGGGGAACAACGAAAATGCGTGGCTTCTTTTTGGCTTCCGTTCAAAACCGTCCAAAAAAGGCGCCCTCAAACAAATACACACCCGCATCCTTGTGAGGTAGCAGTATAGTTGGCCTCGCATGACGCTCGGAAAGGGAAGCCTTGCTGAGCAAGTACCAGCAACATGGGTTAGAATAAGGGTACTTTTTTGTGTAGTCTATTTTAGTAGGGGAACCCTTTTAAAAAAAAGTTGGCAAAAGGGCACTGGGGACCTAGGTGATTACTCCACTGATCACTGAGTGCTATTGAGGTTCCACGAAATGTTTAAGAAAACCTACCAGGACCCCGACCGAAACTTCAGGTCAAAAGGTTGATTCACGGGGCAAGTGAGAATCGGCTATGATTCTTTGAGCTTTCAATGCTCATTTGCCCACTGAAATCCTAGCCACTCACCTTCCGGACCTGAAATTGAAAGTTCAGCCTTTGTACCCACAGGACCCGCATAGACAACTCCGGTCGACTCGCTCCGGAAACTGAGACTACATCTGGAAGCAATGAGAAAGGCTTTTGTCAGGGCTCCCGATAATCCCAACATCAGAGATCCGTATATGTCCATTTCAGCATCAGTTTTGCAATAGAGGAAAATCGCAGCGGCATCGCCCTAACTGTGATGTTTTAAAGCCCTGGAAAAAGCGACATACAAGCACCCCGTCCAGAAACTGTGAAAAGGAACATTCCACAATAGCATTCACACCATGCATGCTTCAACCACCCCAAAAAAGAAAATCTAAACATTGCAGGTGTGACTAGGTCCTCCAGTAGAGAGGTTAGAATAAGGGTACACTTTTTTCTGTAGTCTATTTTAGTAGGGGAACCCTCCCCCCAAAAAAGTTGGCAAAAGGGCACTACTGGTGATCAACCGCGAACGCCTCGCGCCTCCCAATTCTTGATCTGTGCCTGTCGGGGTGAACGGTGTGAGTTCGCCGAGCTGTTCGGACCTAAAATCGAGGACCATGGGATGGAATCGCCAAGTATGCCACCTCCGCTTTTGTCGCATCATTTATATGCTGAAATCACAGCGAACAGTAGTGGAGAGTCCTGATCCATATATCAGCGTGATAGATTGGAGTAAATACTTTCGGACGTTCACTTATATTGCTCCATACCTGGGGACCCCACCCCGGAAATGCTCTTTCACACCAAACAAACATAGTCTAACCGTAACCTGAAAGCCAAAGATCCGGAAGCCAAGTTTTGAAATCAGCCGAGAGTAAAAACACCAAATGAGCATAGGTGACCTTTTGGCAGAAACTAATGTGTCCCTGGTAAATGGCTGATAGAACCCAAATCTAAACCAGAACCCATCTATGTCCAACTAGGTCCTCCAGTAGAGAGGCTAGAATAGGGGTACCAACTTTTTTCTGTAGTCTATTTTGGTAGGGGGGACCCTCCCAAAAAAGCAGCAATGGCAAAAGTTGGCACGTAGCTGGGGGACCTAGCCAACCAAACTCACTGATCAAAAGGAGACCTATGGAACGAGGTTTCCCTAAGCGTCCTTGCGGCAAGTCTCAAGTGAGTCCATGTCCCGAACCTCGACATGGAGGGCTTGGTGTCCATGGGTCCCCAAAATGGTACCATTGACCCACAGCCTGGTAAATGCCTAAACCGCTGAGTTCAGAAAGCAGTTCACCTCAAATGGCGATGAATTTTGATAAGACCCTTTGGTAGACATTAAAACTCGGTGGGGATTCATGTCCACCAATCACTGTGGAGGTGGTTCCCACACTTAAAATTCCTGGCCGAATAAAGACTCACTATGAAGGAACCTCGGGCCTCGAAAACGAAAACCCAGAACGTCACACTCGACCTGGTATGTCAGGTGCCAGCCCCAAACCTAACGAGTCAAATGGCACCGTGCACCATGCAGCTGGAAACTTCTGGCAGGGACTGCCCATGGCCTTCCCCACTTGGGGTTGTAAGAAAACCCCGTGACCTTTTTTATGGACCCTCGACACCGTTATCGTTGTTTTTTCTTCCTTGTCGTTTTACAGGTCATTGGAAGCATCGGTGTTGGATGATAATTCTGTAGTAGTAGTAGTAGTAGTAGTAGTAGTAGAAGCAGCAGCAGCAGTAGTAGTAGAAGTAGTAGTTGTTGTTGTTGTAATAGTAGTATTAGTAGTAGTAGTCGTAGTAGTAGTACTGGTACTAGTACTAGTACTAGTACTAGTAGTAGTAGCACTGGTGCTAGTACTGGTACTCGTACTAGTCCTAGTAGCAGGAGTGGTGGCGGCGGTGGTGTTAATATTAAATGTAGTAGTAGTAGTAATAATAATACAAGTAGTTGTAGTCGTAGTAGTAATACTAGTAATAATAGTAATAATAATAATAGTAGTATGAGTAGTAAGAATAATTGTAGTAGTAGAAGTAGTAGTAGCAGTAGTAGTAGTAGCAGCAGCAGTAGTAATAGTAGTAGCAGCAGCAGCAGTAGTAGTAGTAGAAGTAGTAGTAGTGGTGGTGGTGGTGGTAATAATAGTTGCAGCAGTAGTAGTCGTAGTAGTAGTAGTAGTAGAAGTAGTAATAGTAGCAGTAGTAGTAGTAGTAGTGGCAGTAGTACCACTAGTAGTAGTTGTAGTAGTAGTAGTAGTTGTCGTGGTGGTGGTAGTAGTAGTAGTAATAGTAGTAGTAGCAGCAGTAGCAGTAGTGTAATAATAATTAGATAATTTGCTCAAATGGGCCCTGTGGCGGCTTGAGGCACTTCGGGGCTGTTTCAGACATGTTTCCGAACTGTTTCGAACTGCTTTTTGGGGCCCTGGGCAGTTTCGGTTTTCAAGCTTGACCAACGTAACTGAAAAAAGGACACGGTGCCCCTGTCTCTTGTCGTAATAGTAGTAATAGTAATAGTGATATAAGTACTAGTACTAGTTGTATTAATAGTAGTTGTAGTAGTAGAAGTAGTAGTAGTAGTGGTGATAGTAGTAGTTAGTTGTAGTAGTAGTAGTCGTAGTAGTAGTCGTAGTAGTAGTAGTAGAAGTAGTAGTAGTCGTAGAAGTAGTAGTAGAAGTAGTAGTAGCATTAGTAGTCGCAGTGGTAGTAGTAGTAGAAGTAGTAGTAGTGGTAGTAGTAGTCGTAGTAGAAGTAGTAGTAGTACTAGTAGTAGTAGTAGTAGAAGCAGTGTGAGTAGTCGTAGTAGTAGTAGTAGTAGGAATCGTAAAAGAAATCGTAATAATGTTTGGATAACTTGCTCAAATGGTTCCTGTGGTGGCTTGAAGCACTTCGGGGCTGTTTCCGAGCTGTTTGTTTCTTGTCGTAATGATAGTAACAGTAAAATAAGTACTAGTACTAGTTGTATAAATATTAGTAGTAGTAGTAGTAGTATGAATATTAGTAGTAGTAGTAGTGGTGATAGTAGTAGTTAGTAGTAGTAGTAGTAGTAGTAGTAGAAGTAGTAGTAGTACTAGTAGTCGTAGTAGTAGTCGTAGTAGTAGTAGTAGTAGAAGTAGTAGTAGTAGTAGTATTAGTAGTAGTAGTAGTAGTAGTAGTGGTAGTAGTAGTAGTAGTAGCATTAGTAGTAGTAGTAGAGTGAGTAATTGTAGTAGTAGTAGTAGTAGTAGTAGTAGTAGTAGTAGTAGTAGTAGTAGTAGTGAGTAATTGTAGTAGTAGTAGTAGTAGCAGTAGTAGTAGTAGTAGCAGAAGTAGTAGTAGTAGTGGTGGTGGTGGTGGTGGTACTAGTAGTAGTTGTAGTTTATGAATAATAATACTTGTAGCAATAGCAATAGTAATAACAACGGTACTGTTGGACGGACGGACGGGCGCGCCCGTCCGACGGGCGCCCGCCCGACGGGCGCCCGTCCGACGCGCGCCCGTCTGACGTAGTAGTCGTAGTAGTAGTAGTAGAAGTAGTAGTAGTAGTATTATTAGTAGTTGCATCAGTAGTAGTAGTGGTAGTAGTAGTAGTGGTAGTAGTAGTCCTAGTAGTATTAGTAGCAGTAGTAGGAGGAGGAGTTGTAGTAGTAGTAGTAAACACAATCGTTATCGTTCTTTTTTCTTCCTTGTCGTTTTACAGGCGTTCCGCCATGCACCTCCCCCTCCGGACGAAGCCTTACATAATGTAAAGGCGCGGGGTATTCATACAACCCCACTTAACTTTTCTTTTTAGTGTTCTTGTTGTCAGGTTTCAGTCATACCTTGCCTTTTTTTTGTGGTTTTGTCGTGTACTTGCTGTCAGGTTTCAGTCATACTTTGCCTTTTTGTTTGGTTTTTCGTGTTCTTGTTGTCAGGTTTCAGTCACATCGCTTTGTTGGGCAAACAAAGTGCAGATGGGAAACTGAGTCTTCAGTTCAGCATTGAGCACCTATATTGATTCCACTTACGTGCATACAATGTACTTACGGCAAGAAACCCCAGTTCAATTACTGAAAGAAACATAGTTAGCTAGTACTTGGTTGACGTTGGAAGGGGAGCAAAACTTCTCAAATTTTAGCAGTTAAGTGGTTGGAATTACCACTAAACCACAATCAGCAAAAATGGGAAACATGTTTCCCAACAACAACCATGAATTTTCCCGGCGTCTCTGGTCTACTGGGACACAATACCGTATTGAGCAAACACTATAGTCGCGAGATCCACCTCAACTCACTTGAGTGGATTGGCCAAGCAACACCTACGCTGACTTTGCCACTCAAATGATGGCCCCGATTCCTCAGATTGCTTAATCAGCCTGGAAAATTGCATATGTCCACCAATACTAACAGGTAAACAGTTTAAACAGATACTCTTAAGCAAATGGAAGCAACAAGACAAGTCCAGGAACTCCAAAGGAAGTGAGGCATCACAATGTTGGAAGTGTTTTGCTCAACGCCTGCCCCTTTGCGCCTTGACTTCAAGGCAGGGTTGCGTGTTTTGACCCCCCTCAGACTTAAACCCAGGGTTCCCCCAAAAGGGAAACCGGGGTTACGCCTGCCCCAAGGTGGTCCAAAAAGAACCCACAGGGTAGCAGAATACCTAAGTCTAGGTCCTCCAGAGAGGTTAGAATAAGGGTACCATTGTGTTTTTTTTCTGTAGGAGGAAAAAAAGTTGGCACCGATCGCTGGGGGACCTAGTTGCCATCTTTCCACCAATCACACTCCATTGCAAGCCTTTCAACTGGACTGCAGTCTTCCAAAAGACCTCCTATCAGATTCGCTCCCCAAAAAAATAAACGGTAAAAGGGCACCTAGCTGGGGGACCTAGAAGTGAAACTGCCGACACTCTCGTCGAAACCGCCTGCGCATCTGGCTGCCAGGGCGGCGGAAAGAAGCCCCCCGCGAGGGCGTCCCAGCCGAACCTGAGATGGCGGCAATGTCGAGGCAACTACCGTGGATGGATATGGCCTACCGTCTCTCAAAAAAACGGCCCCCCAAAATGGGCCCGGTGTCCGGCCTAGATTCCCCTTAAGACCCACTGCAAAAAGGAGGGTACACTCTCTCTATGTTGAGACACACCCATATCCTGCACTAGTTGGGATGGACGAAACCCATGAATACTGAAACCCCTCCCTCCATTGATCGTGGAAGCAGATAATACACTTCTGAAAGTTGTTCCTTGTGGAGAACCCGTGCCCACTTCCATAAGTGTTGGACAAAGGGTAACAACCCTCCCACCACAGAACATGGAAGTGCAGACCAAGTAGAAAACTACTTTCTGTTTGATCAAGTTTCCTGTACTCTGCAGTGTTTGTTGGCGGGAGGGTGGTCGATTCACCGACCAAACATGGATTCTGGATTTTTCGAAAGCTAATCCCTTAGGTTCAAACTCCAATTACAAGAATGATCGACCCAATTTGGATCATGAAACTCCTAACAAATCATGTTTGTTATATTAGCTCCTTTTGTTTCAATGGTGGTTTGAACCCGAGGGTCATCTTGGTTGACCACTTTTGACTTCGAGTTGTTGATGAACAAACATTCAAGTAATTCAACATGCGAAGCCATAATTTTTCACAGAACATCAAGTACATCGTGCTGGCAAATCTGGTAGGTCAACCTTGGTTGAACATCTCCGTGAAGTCTATGATTGAAGTGTCTTTTGGGGCTACAGTTCGCACGGGCACGGGTTCGATGGTTGAATGCGTCCATGTGTTTTGCTGCCGCTAGCAAAACAAACAACATTGAGCGGTCATCACCAAAAGAAAACAACCGCTGTTGCAAAACACATTCATCACCTTTGCCTTAGCAAAAGGAAGAATAACCTGATGTTGCTTTGCGGGTGGCCGAAGCTCGAACTGGATACCAAGTTTACAGTACGTAAAAACAGATGACCATGGGTCAAAATCCCGTACCCCCGGTGAACATCCCAATCCCCACTAAAGTAGAGGTTTTGACCAACAGCCGTATCGCATTTCAGCGAAAGATGCGCGGCAAACCCGTTTCCTCAAGGAATCCGATGTCAAGTGTCGACGGTGGAAGGGCATCCAGTGGCATCCAGTGGCATCCAGTCGTTGGCTCCCGCAAGAAGCTAAATACACTCTTGCCAGCTTGCCAGCCATGGAAGCTGTCACCCTGGACCACTGAACAAAGGGTTCCAGCCCCAACATTGTGGTTGGTGATTTCTTTTGTGCGGGTAGTTTGAGGGCTCAGGATGTTCCCCAAACGCTTCGAAGCTTGAAGGCGAAGTCAAAGAGCCACCAAGCTATTGGCAAAGACATAAGGCCGGCACCCTTTGAACCAAACGTGCTTCTTGATCTCCTGGCAAAAGGCGTTCATCCTTTCAGGAGTTACTCCCTTACCGAATGCTAGAAGAAGCTTGGCACGATATCGGCGCCTTAACAGATGGAACCATGTAAGGAATTAGCCCCTGTAAAAAATGAAAGCCCAAAAATAGAGTCGCCCGAGAAGACATTCTTCCACGCAACTGTTGGGGTTCAATTTTCACCTGGGGGAAAGAACCTCCAGGGAGGAATCCTATATCTCTTGTCTGTGTGCCATTGATCCGGGAAAATATGATTTCTTCACCAACCGAACTTACGGGATCCGTTTAAAGTAAACCTTCATCATGGACGATACAAAGCTCTCAGCGTGACGTTTGTTCAAGTTGCCCAGATCATTACGCTCAGATGCCCAGTGGCACTGGGACAAAAGGGTATCCTTTTTTGGTTGGCTGAGTTTAAAGGAATCGCAACCCTTCCAATGGAGCCTTCCAAACCAAAAGAGGAGACAAAGGGCGGAATCCACTGGGCAACTGGGTTGCCCTGTTTCCAATCAAACTGGACAGCTTTCGGCATTCGAGGACAGCCGTCCGAAAAAATGTCCAAATTGTCAGCTTTTGGACGAAGGGCTTCCGGCCCTGGCATGATTTTGCACTATGACGCCACGAAAGGTAGGTTGAAGAGAAACCCCGCTTTTGACTTTGAGAAAAAACAGAAGGGGAACCCGCCAAATGCGAACGTGGCGCATTCGTGTGCTTTGCCGTCGCAGTTTGAGGCATGTAAGCTGAACCGAAACACTGCGCCCAAAGCAACAAACCGGCAATCAAAATCTGGTACAAATGGTAAGCCCAAAACCATATTCAGAGCTGTTTCTGGTTGGTATTGTTCCCTACAAAACCTTCACATACCTGGTTCTTGAGCCAGTGGCTCAAGTAAGGTCCACTAAAACACGCCGAAAAGGCAAGGCTTGCCGAATTTGGCAATCCAACCCGAGCACCTCACACGCTTTGGGCCAACTTCTACATCCTGTGGGTATTCTCCTCGCTCTCGGCTCGAGTGAATCAAAGCCTTTAATGGGCCTTGTCGCAAAGTTCGATCATTCACCAACCTACTGCGGACGTTTGCGAAATCCATTTCTCACACCACTTCGAACCCATGGGACACCATTGCCTGCATCTACAAAGGGACCATTCCAGGTGTGTTTAGGTCTTAGGGTCTTAGGGGGTGCAGGATTTCGTCCATCCACTGTCTAATAACCTAAGTTTAGAAGATATGTTATACCCGTATTCGGTTTCGACCATTCCAACCAACATGGCCTGAATCAGAATCATACCCCACTTTCTCCAAACGCTAGTTCAGTCAAATAGCAGGCAGTCAAGGTAAGACTGGCCTCATGATTCTACCAAGGTCGCCAAGTGGTTGGCAGGGAAACAGCCCCAATGTTTTATTTGATAACCAGGAAACAATCCGAGATCCGCCATGGTTTGGTTGGGGTCCCATTCAACATATTGAAGCTTTCCTTTTAGTTTCGTGTTTAACCATCAGAGAAAAAAACATATACAAGGAACAGAAAAACACACACCCCAAACAAAAACAACAAACAAAAACAACACAAAACAAAACAACACACAGACAAAACAAACGGGTGCCCCGCCCCCGCCAAACAAACAATCAAAACGGGTTCCCCGCACCCCCCCCCCCCCGCAAAAAAAAGAAAGCCACTCGAAGGATGTTTGAACCGTTCCGCGGTCTAAGGAGTCTCCGCTCCTTAGCGCCGGAGGTCCCAAGGCGGCGCTCAGGGCGTCGTTCCAAAAGGCCACTCAACACCTCGGGGTTTTCGCCGCGCGAAATCAAGAAATCGAGCACCAGGAGGAACAGATTCTTCCATGTGCTTAAATAAGTGGAAAAATGTAGTCCAAGAGTGCGAAATCATGCTTTGGGAAAATGGTTGGTTGACAAAGCTCCTCCTTCCAATCCCTGTCACACGAGAAAGGCTTCTTATCACCTTGTAAAAGTCTAGATAGGGCCTAGAATCTAGAAGCAGGTACTGAAACGGCCAACTGGGGGTGTTGGGTGCCCGCGTAAAGTTCAACCCAAATCGCCTGTACTTGGGTTCAATTAGCGACACACCCCCAAACCGACTCAAACCACGTGTCTCTTTTTGAGGGCACCCTTTTGGCTGGTCTTAACTGGAAACCAGGAAGAACGCCATTTTGGGGGTCCTCTAAAAAAGACACACGTACAGGTTGCAAGTGAAGTCAGGCGGCACGGGTGCCCTCGCTCCGAAAACGAGCGTAACGAGTTGACTAGCCCAACGAATCACGAGCCATAACCAGGGCGCTTTTGAAGCGCTTTACGGATGTCTTTTCGGAAAGCGTCCCGACCTGCCCTTTTCAAATTCCAGGTCGCCCAAGGAAAGGCGATCAAACGCCTTTCCTCCAAAAAGCTGCACCCCTGAAACTCCAGGGAAGGCCGGCAATTGACCTGAAGGTCTCGTGTACTTCCTTTCCAACTTAGGCTCAAACGGTGTTCAAAGAAAACAATGGCGACACCAGGGTCCAAAAAGGGGGCCATGTGTTTAACAACCCCGCTTGAAACCCATTAACTTATTAATCAGATTCCTGAGCCGCTTTCGCGAACCGGCCCTCGGCTCAATCTCAAAGGTACTCTAGAGGAATACTCCCCTGCAAATTAACCTGGACCCTAGGGTTCCTTGTCGAGTCCCATTACAAGAATGGCAACTTGCCCAATTTAGATGATGAGTTACTCCTGAATGGCAAGTAATTGTGGTGCAATATTCTCCCGACCTTTGTCTCCATGGTGGTAACGGTAATTCAACCGGGTGGAACCTCAAAGCGGGGGGTCTGGGTCCATTTCCCAAAAGGCGATGCCGAAAAAAGCATGACGGGTCCATGTTAATCAGGGAGGACCACTCCTAAGGACAGAGGAGAGATGGTGTCATGTCGATCTCGCTTTGAACGACATGGATGGATGGATGGATGGCTGGCTGGATGGATGGCTGGCTGGATGGATGGCTGGATGGATGGCTGGATGGATGGATGGATGGCTGGATGGATGGATAATACTGCGAGTTCAGGATAAGTGAACCCAAGGTTGATTAACTCAGTTGCCCATAGAACCTGTTAATAAAAGGTGATCACCTTTTGGGACCTCTACTAAAAATAGGAACCCAAAAAGGGAAAAATCCAAAAGCTCCAGCTCCGGTCGCTTCGCTTAGAACTGAGGGGCCTATTTTGTTTCAGAGGGTCAAAAGCCAAATCGGGTCGCCCCGAAACCTCCGATTCGAGACCCGTTCTAAAATAGGAAGCCTCAAATGGGCGGTGAATTAATTCACCCACCAAAATGGTACCGTACTGTGGCTGGACGAAATCCATTTCGCACCACCTAAGAAACCCTGACATGATGTTTCCCCTGTAAATACCAATGAAAAATGGTTTCCCATATGGTTTCCAAGTGGTGCAGGATTGTGTCCATCCACAGTATCATTGGTTTTGACCCACAGCCATATCCTCGTTGCCCAAGAGGTTGTCTGCCAACACAAATACGGGTACCATTACTAGGAGGTTAAATCCACGAGCATGTAGGCTATGACTATCGTAAGGGGCTAACGAGCCAGCGACCATCTACAACCGGTTGAGTGTTTCATCTTCACAGGCAAATGTTCATGGCAAAGTTCAGGCCCAACCAAAACTGGCAACCCTTTAGTGGAAACTCCAAAACTTTTGAAGGGGTCCCCACCCCGTATTAGTAGGATGGGTTGGTCAACATCCCCAACCCACGATATGTTTCTATGGGAAATGGGGCACTCTGTTTTTTGGTACCTGTTAAAAAAAGGGTAACCTTTTCCAAAACGGAGACAAGGGCTCGTACTTGTTTGAGGGCACCCCTCTTGCGGATTTACAGGACAACTAGAAGGAAAGCCAACATTTTGGAGTTCCGACTCCTCAAAAACAGTGACACGCGCGGGGGTCTGGGCCATTGCTTCAGAAGAACCTCGCGTTTCGCGCTTCGCAGCGAAACGGCTCACCACGCCTGCCCAGCATCCTGGTCGATGTAGGCGGGAAAGCGCAGGGGATCCTCACGACCAGGATCGCGAGGCGATCGCGCGCGGAAAAGGGCGGCGAAGGGCGGAAACCGAAGGGCGCCGATCCGAGGAGTGGAAAGCTTCAAAAGGCAAAGGGTTCCAGTGGATCCCAGTTGAGTCACTTGCTCAAAACCCGGTTACCAAAATGGTCGACCCAGAACCATGCTTCAACAACTAAGCAGGCGGACATTCGCAGCTATTTATGGCAAGGGGATCGTCCCTAACCTTCACTTACCTGGGTTTTGAGCCCGTGGCTCAGTTGCCTCTCAGTTCCTTCTGATGGCAAACTAAAAGTTCTTCGACTTTTGACCATTCCGTGAAGAGTTGCGCCATTTTCCTTGCTTTTGGGCTGGTTCCCTTAGTTACCACTAAGGGGAATGGAATCACTGGGACTATGGGCTGGCAAAAAAAAAGGAGTCTGATTTTTTCTGCCGCCCCCAAAGCTAAAAATGAGGAGAGCCAAAAACAAACAGTTGAAGATCCAAGAACAGTGAAGAAAGGATTGCTTGTTGGGGGTCGGGGTCTCCCCGAAACAGACACCCACAACCTTTGAACAAGTCGGAGATAGATCATCTGTAAAGCGTTTATCGCAGTGGGCCACCACAACGAGGGAAGGCACTACCATCAGGCATAAGGGTTAAGGACGAGGTTTCAGCTAAAGGACCGCACTGCGGCTCCATGTTCCAACTGCTTGGATTTGTGGACTCGACATTTGTTCACGGTGTCTTTCTGGTATATTTACATGGATTATGGGCTGATCAACAAGTAGTTGGGTGTTTTTGTTTGAGGGTATCTGCATGTTTGAATTTGTTGGAGACGGAAACGAAAACACCACCATCCTTTTTGGAAGTCCCCTAAAGACAAACCGATTTCTAGACTGGTGCAAGGGTCTATTTGGTTTGCTCAATCGTGTATCCGAAGCTTTTAGCTGGCGAGGGTTACCCCGCACCCCGTGGTTTCCCCAAGTAGCAAAGGAGCTTTGGTCATCTTCGGGTCTGCCGTTCTTTTGTTCAGGGTGCCATTTGCTGTGAAAGCTTTCGGAAAAATCCCAGCAGTTTATCTAGGTCCTATATCCAAAACGAACCAATTCCGCGGCATCAAAGCGATGGACACCATTTCCGCGAGTCCACAAAGCAGTGGGCGGACCGATCGGCAAAAGAGGGGGGCCTCGTTGGGTTTAGAGTAACCCCCCCCCCCGCCCCGTATGGTGGACACTTTCGGGTCGATTTTAAGCAACCTCTTTCTTTTAGGGTATTGGCTTTTTAGGGTTCATGGTTGCAACATAGACTCTAGGTGTCCATGGCACCCCCCGCCCGCCCCCCACAAAGAAAAGAGTATCAGGTAGCCACACAAAAAAGACGGACCCACTTACAATGAACCCCAACAACTCCCAGGTCCTCCAGTAGAGAGGATAGAATCAGTGTAGTGTATTTTAGTAGGGGAACCCTCCCGCAAAAAAGAAACGGTAAAAGTTGGCACTGCTGGGTGACCTAGACTCACTTCCGATCGATGTTCCAGACAAAGTCACCAAACTGTTGATGTTTGCCACATGGTCCAAGCCGAAAGGCTTCAAAGTCCAGGCCCTCAGGGAGTGGAGCTGCTTTTCAGCTGCGGGGGTCGGTAGGCCCAGGGTTGGCTCTGGTTTAGGGCAGCTTTCAGGGGTTGAGATTCGGTTCCAAGGGCCATTGGGTCCTACCTGCGCATATTGCAAGCTCGAAGTTCGGCTCATTTCAGGCTCGCCACCCAAGAACTTGGGCTCGCAATGGGCCAAAACCAAGGGACAGCCATAGGGTTCTTTATCTTAAACACACACCCACATGTTTAAAGAGCAAAAGGGATCAACAAAAATATGCACCTCCAAAAACCAGCACCTCCCACAGTATGAAACGCCCGCATTGAACTCTCACACCTCACCTGCCATATAAGCTGCTTGCCATTCTTCCATCAACCACAGTGGATTGAAAGCCTTTCAACTGGACTGTAGTCTTCCAAATCCCTTCCTAGGTCCTCCAAAACCCTTCCTAGGTCCTCCAGTAAGGTTAGAATAAGGGTACCAACTTTTTCTTTTAGTCTATTTTAGTAGGGGAACCCAAAACCAAAAAAAAAAACGGCATTCTTCCACCAATCACATGGATTGAAAGCCTTTCAACTGGACCGTAGTCTTCCAAAGACCCTTCTATTTTAGTACCCTCCCCCAAAAAAAATGGTAAAAGGGCACCTAGCTGGGGGACCTAGGTAGTCTTCCAAGAACCTTCCTATCAGAATTCCGCTGTCGGAAAGATGATGCGTCAAACCACAGACCCCGCGCCCGCAGCACAGCGCCGCCTCGCAAATCGCCGCGAAGAGCTTCATCTGATCCTGGCGGAAGGAAACGTGCGAGAGCTGCCCTAACTTGGTTCACGTTGGAAGGGGAACAACAAATTAAAAGTTTTTGCAGAAAAGTGGTTGGATTTCAACCACTAAATCACAAGCAAACATGTAGAATGTGTCCCAACAACCATGAAGCTAAGGCTCCCGATGGTTTTGGGCCCTCAACATGGGCTGTTTTTGAGGGCCCTTGAGTCCGGGTTCTTCATTGGAGGGCGTTGTAGGGGCCATGAGCCTTAGGGTGGCAACACTTGTATGTGATGGCTGGCAACACTTGTCTTGGTTGCTGCAACGACCCCCCTGCAAAAATTGAATAACTTTTTGGGTTAGTGGAAAACACATTGATTTCAACCAAAAAGTTAAAGTCTAAAGATGCAACCCACTTGAGTCATAATCAAAACCCGGTACTAAAATGGCCCAAGCCCAGAACCATGTAAAGGATTTAGAAGGCAGCCGCAGCTATTTGTGGTTGGGATTGTCTCTTTTTAACCTTCATCTACCCGAGTTTTGATTGTGGCTCACTTGTAATTGATGTGTTCAGCAGGTTACTAGTCCAAATACTGTGGATGGACGATGTCCGTTCGCACCACCCAAGAAACCATGGTTGACTCCATAATTTTTTGGTATTTACAGGATAATCATCATTCCAAGGTTTCTTAGGTGGTGCAGGAGTTGACCCCCCTGCAAAAAGTGAATAACTTCTTCTTCTTCTTCTTTTTTTTTGGGGGGGGAAGTGGAAAACACCATTATTTCAACCAAAAAGTTAAAGTCTAAAGAAGCAAACCAATAGCAGTCAAGTTGCATTTGATGTGTTCGGCCGGATACTTGTCCAGATATGTGTTTGCCTTGATGTGTTCCTCAATTTATTGATTGATCCATCGCTTGTTTCCATATTTGGGACCCTGTTGGCGCCATCGTTTACATGGTGTTTGAAGCCCACCAACCAATCTTTTGAAGGTGTTCACCTTTGGCATTCATAGCCTCTTGTCCAAAAGAACCCAAAAGGAGATTAATCAAACCTAACTACTTTGTTGGGCTCCAGACTACCCTGCAGGGAGGTATTGGAACCTAGCCAAAGCGTTTCACTTATTTCGCGCGAGGTCCAACCAAATCACGTGCATGCCATCTGTCCCAAAGCCAAAGCCAAGCGTTAAACTACACCTGTCTAGGCTGGAATTCGGACCCCAGCAAAAATATATATATATATATATATATATATATTTGCCTGGTGAGTGGAAAACAAAGGGAACCCAAAAAGCAAAAGAGCAAAAAAGCAAAAAGGGGAGCTAATTCTGGGGAAGCTGTATGAATCTACTCAGCTCTTGGTTTGGCTTGGCTCGCTGGAAGGGACGTTTCCCCAGGCTCTAGCCTCAAGAACCGGTTCAAATTCCACGGCCAAACGAGGGTGACCTGAGGCTCGGTTGCAACCCGAAAGAAAGTTGGTCTTCCCGAAAAAACGGGGAATTCCGTCCAAAGTGGCTGGAAGCAAGCTTTACCCAGGTGCCTTGATTCCAATCTTTGGTGCCAGCTTCCCTTTCCGCCAACCAAAGCTCAACATGTGACGAGTTGTTTTCCTTTGTGTAAAACACTCAGTTGTTCTGTGACCCTGGAAAAAAGGGAACCCTTTTTTGGGAAGACCATTTTGGTGGGGCAGCCACCAAAAAAGGAAAAAGGGGGCCACTGAACAACTGAGAACATGTTCAAAAAAGAAACACCCCCAAACGATCCGCCCTTTGAGCACCGCTTTGTGGTATATTGCCAAGCTTCCCGAAACACGACTCAAATACCCAAGCAATTCAACTGTAGTATTGCTCCTTTCCAGGCAGTATTGCCAAAACACACTTCTGGGTCACTTCCTGCACATGGATGCTAGCACAAAACGATTCAACAGTAGTCTTGTCCCCTTTTCAAGTAGTACTGCCAGTATTGCCAAAGATCCTGCAACCTGACCTTAACATTAAAGAAAACAAATCAAAGATAGACTTCCTGCAACCCGACTCCAACAATGTCACTTTAGATAATTCATGTATGATGTAAGCATCGAATACTCTATTTAGGGGTCTATTTGGGTGTGTCTATGTTGGCGGATACTCCTTGTTGGTGGTATTGAACGAAAACTCAAAGGACACCAAACTTGCTCCCCGACAAAAAGCCAAATTTATCAGCTTTTAGCCGACAAAATCTTATCTCCCCTGGGTTTCGGTCACCTTGCCTTTTCGCGTTGAACATATCAGGCTCGTAAGGGGTCCGGATTTGAGCTGGAAAGAGCCGCTCGTGATTTATCTGAGCCCCTTTTGGAAGGAAAACCGCCCTGGGAAAAGGCAGGATGCCACGCAACTAAAGAAAAACCACCTACGACATAAATCCATGGGTTTGCCGGGGTCGATCTTAAAGGACAACCCAGCAAACAAACATAAAAATGACAGCAACCGTCACAGGCAAGGCGAAAGTCTGGTTCCGGTAACGTCAGATGCGCAACAATTCCAAACCAGAACAAGGGACCCCCTCAATGAAATGATCGTTGGATTTCTAAGGAACCCCCGACATGTATTTGGGACACCATATTCTGAGCTGTTGGTGTGGGCCTCTTCGGTCTGACTTGGGGCTTGGCACCGAATGCACATGCCACGTCTCCCCCTCTTGACGCAAATGGACCGGAAAGCCAACTACTGTGGATGGACGAAATCCATTTCGCAAAACCCACGAAACACTAGAATGATCCCCAGTACATACCAACAAACAATGGTTTCCCCATGGTGTCTTGGGTGGTGCAGGATTTTGTCCATCCACAGTATCTCTCTTTGGCGATATTCCAAAACAGATTCATGTTTTTGACTTCCAGCCCAGAAATCCCTTGGAATGCTTGCACCCCTGGGAAGTAGCTTTTTGCTGGGATATTCAACCATTCAACCCACTCAGCACGTAGGTATGGAAACTAGCCATAGTTCTCCCGGCCATAGCCGTGCTCGTTTTGCCACTAATTTGTGTGACAGGGTACACCAAGAGGATGCATGCGCTTCTAGGGAAATCCTTCCCAGACTTTCTTTTTTGGGAACACGATGAATGATTTCTGTCCTTTGGTTGTCAGGGCCCCCAAACACCCAGAAGCAACCCTATTAGCCCCCAGTAGTCGTTAATAGCAGCGCTAGTAGCCCCTACTGAGATTGGGGGGGGGGGGGTCGCTATTGGGGGGCCTTCGATATGGGACTCCAACCGGGGAGTCTCCAAACAAAATCATATGGCCATGAAGTTTAATAAGGAACACCCTGGACCCCTCAAAAATGGTTGGTCATTACCCAAAATAAAGGGGTCATGGACCCATTTTTATTTCGGGTCATGGAGACTCCAGGTAGTCACTTTTTGTAAGGGTCCCAAGTACCCTGAGGCATATTGTTCCCCTTCTCATTCCCGAAAGCCTCAACCTCTGGGTTTGTAACCTGAAAATGAGTTAACCCTGCAAGGACTGCTGCCGGAAGCTTTCCGGAACCCTACTTCCATTTGCTTAAGCCCCCCCCCAAAAAAAAGAAGAAAAAAGTAGTGAAATCGATCCCCTTAGAATCAACAGCGGAAGAAAAAACAACATATTCGCTTCAGCAAATGGAAGCCCAAGCTTCTCTGGGCCTGTAGACCCCATGGCTTTCAACTGCCGAAAGGAAAGCACGAGAAATGCCGCCCGAGGTTCCACCCACCAACCACGACCCCACCTCCTCGCCAGCGCCGAAGGGTATAGGCCCCGCTACGAACCTCAGAAAACAAGACGCCGGCTTGCGATGGGACAATCATTTTGTTGTACATGTGTAGGTATGTATTGCATATATATATATATATACATGTCTTGAGAAGACACGTGTATATATGAATGCATGAATTGATGTGTGAATGTATATCACAAATGCATGATTCTATGATGCTACGTACGCACGGGCTAGAGCTGGAAGAGCTGAACAGCATCGCGAGCTTCTTCTTGTGGGTACCAACAGCCGAAACCCGAAATCAACCCAATGAAAAGCCCACATGGCCATGGGTCAAAACCCCTTACCCCCAGTGAACATCCCAATCCCAACTAAAATAGACTAAAATGAGTGGTGCACCTACCCCAAAATGGTACCATTGGTTTTGAACCATGGCCACATCTTGTTTTGGGACCACAGAACGAACCCCCTCGAAAGTGGTTCGCTTGCTCCCCAATCAGCCGATAAGTGCGTCACAAGGAAACTTCTGCTAGCCTGGGTTGACCATATTTCGAGACTTCCGCGATGATCCGCAGATGCCCGCGGCAGCCACCCGTTTCCTCATGGGAAAATCGCGGCCCCCTTCCTGCATGTGTTGCTTCCTGCTGTGTTGCTGGAACGACCCACTGTTGCATACATTATCTTCTTGGACGTTCAACCCGCGTAGCAACAAGTTGGTCATACCGTTGTTAAGGGAACTATCCCAGGTAACTCCATTTGTTACCACGGCCAGAATCTAGCGTATTGGATGATATTTTTGGTGGATCTCATCCCGCTTCGCTCCTCATGGACCCCTAAGGGCAGCTCTGCGAGGGTGGGGAGGGGGGTTATACTGGATAAGTCCAGGAGAAGCCAAGTTGATCAGCCCTCAATAAGGCCTCAAGCGTCTTTTTGTTGAGGAGTGTTGCCCCGCCCCCTCCCCAGTTCGATCCCAATTTGGTTCCATGGTCGATCCCTGCGTGCCTCTCTGCAGCCGAGGGGCTCATAGAGCATTACACCCAGAGACCACCAGTCGATGCACTTGGTGTAGCCCTTGCCCTTGATGACCTGACAGGGAGCCTCACCATCTCCGGACTCCTAGAAAGCGACTCAAACTCCCCTGAAGGTTGGCGAACAAAAATTACCAAACTTTTGGTTTGCCACTAGAAATGGTCTTCCAAGGCATGAAGTGCAGGAACTCAGGACTCCAGCGAAAGGTTGGAAAGCCAGGTTACAACCCTCGAGCTCTCTCTCACACACACACACCTTAGGGACCCGAGCCGCAACACACCACCTCCCCGATCAAATCATGTTAACCCCGGATGAATAAACCCCTGGTTGATTTTGATTGGGGGTGTCCCCTTTTCCTTTTCGTGGGGATTCAGACCACTTTTGGAGGGAACACCCCCTAAGAATGGGACGGGCCAACATGAATCCCGGGTCTCCTAGGTCCTCCAGTAGAAAGGTTGTACTTTGTTTTTTCTGTAGTCTATTTTAGTAGGGGAACCCTCCCCCGAAAAAGGGTAAAAGGGCACTATTGGGGGACCTAGTTTCTCACACTCCTCTTTAGATTTAGGGACCTGACCCACAACACACCGCCTCCCCGATCCAATAACCCAAGACTGGAGGTGTTGCTTCATCTTCTGCACCTTATCGGAGCCGAACTCCCGAAACCGAACTCCCGGAATCGAACACCCACAGCCACAACTTCCGCTTGGATGGTGCGTGTTTTCTCCGTTTCTCTGTTTTCATTATTATTTCGGTTGGAAATATGGTTGGACCGGCAAAACCCAAGTTTTAGTTGGATGGGCCCTTTTTTTTTGACCCTATGGGCCCTGTCATGTTCACCGCAATGACGCGGGTGCGGCAGAGCTCCGACTCCCATTCCACCCCCCCCACCAAAGAATAAACAACAAGACAACAACAACCATAACAACAAACATGAACCTGGTGGTATCCCCAACAGCCCCGGACCCCCCCGCAAAAAACAAAAACAAAAACAACAAAACGAGAACCCTCCCCCCCCTCCAAAAAAAAACGAAAACCTCCCCCCCCCCCCCAAAAAAAAAATGCGGGGGGGGGGGAGGGGGGAAACAACCCTTCAACCGCTGCCTCTGGCGCCAGGTACTCGGGTGTACCCACCAGGCTGGAGGCCCTGATCTCCTGAGTCGGGTCGAATTTTCGGTTCGACACCCGACAGGGCCGGACAACGCGCGCGCCGAATGGGTTCAAAGACATCGGGGTAGTTTTTTTGGATGCTACAGGACTTCTTGTGCTTTGGCGCACGCTAAAAACCCGTGAAAACTCTCCAAAATCGGGAAAAAAACAGGAGGGGGTGTTCTTTGCGGAAGCTAGTAGTTTCAAATATCCTTCCCGTAAACCACCTGGACACCCTTGGCAAACACACGGCATTTGTCAAAAGCTGGCTGACCGGGAATAAACCCCAAACGAGTGCAATCCAACAACGATAATGGCAAAGCCGATAGGAAAGGGTTCAACCCCATTAAAAGAATAGTTGACCCATTTTTGAAGATGACAATCCTATGACAATCCTTAGGGGAAACAATGATGATTATATAAACCCCCTTGTTTTAACGGTGGTAACTGAACCGCACTCGGACCTCCCAAACGAGCTCCTCATATTGCCTCTTGCTCACGCAGTCGAAGCCAAGTGGCCCGGGTGAAAATCTGAAAAGCCTGAGGGTATACAACTGCAGCGACGAGGGCTCACTCCCTTTGGAATGTTTCCAACTAGGGGGACCCCTTTGGCTTTCGGGTTTCCTGTTGTTTTCCTTTTAAACCAAGCTAAACAGTGTACCCTCAAATATGCACCACGCAGAGACGCACACACACACACAAACACACCACCACACACACACACACAAACCCTACTGTGGATGGACAAAATCCAGCGCCAGCTGGTAGGTGGTTTATATCTGGAGGGCTTCATTTATCACAAATGGTGCGAAGTGGATTGCGTCCATCCACTCAAGCAAACAGATTGTATGCGGTTTCTGTGGTTTCCTCATGCTCTTTGACCAGTTGTTCTCCTTTTGACAATTACTCTTTTAGTATCCTAGTGGGGTGGATCCACTAAAAACGCAACCGCACCGTTTCCTAGCCCCACAACATGGTTCAAACCCACCTGGAGTCTCCATGACCCTTATTCATTTTTTGTCACTACCCAAAATAAAGGGGTCATGGGGACCCATTTCCAAAGGGTCAGAAGGAGACTCCAGGTACGTCAACCTACTTCCCAGTTGACCAAGGTCCTTTTTGCAGCACCCGAAGTCCACCAACTTGGCGCGCCCGGCAAAGTCCAGCAACACCTCAGCGCGAAAGAAAAATGAATGGGTGTCTTTTTCTAGGGTACCTGGAGTCTCCCTGAAGACCCTGTAAAAATGGGTCCATGACCCTTAAATTTGGGCAATGACCCCATTTTTTAAGGGTCATGGAGACTCCAACCCAGTTCTTCTGGTTTCAAACAGGGAGACCATAGTTTTTTTTTTGGGGGGGGGGCTCCCCCAGAAAAAAGACACCTCCCAAATGGCTCCGCGTGACGTGGTAAAATAGACGTGTGTTTCTCATGAGGGACCCTTTTTGGATGGTGTTTAAGGGAAACTAAAAAGAAACCGACTGCCGAGTCCCGAGTCCCATTTGCGCAAGAGGGTGTCATATTGTTTAGGAATCGGACCCAAAGTGGCTTCGGTTTTGTTGGTTTTCCAGAAATGCCACAGAAGAGGACACACCCAAGCGGGGGATTCTCCGATGACTACGTTGCTTCACTGTTGACCCAAATTCAGGCCTTGCTAAAAATAACACGGGGAATGCGTTCCAAGAAGTGGTACTTCCCTTGAATTGGTTTCCTCAGGTACGCGCCGAGCAAATTCAAGGGGTTTGCTATTGATCCACTGGGGGTTCCCATCTGGGTTCTTAAAATCAAGGGGTTTGCTATCTGCAACACTTTTACGGGTGGACGGAAACCAAAGGTTCCCAGCCAAGGGTTCACTGCCACATGTTCACCCATAGGAAACCAGGACCAAGACCAAGCCAAGGGCCCGGGGATCGTAACGAGGAAATTTACGGAAAATCCCCCCCCCCCCCCTCGCTCTTGCCCTGCCCATACCAACATTGGAACACAATAATATACAACTTATCTCTCTATCTCTCTCTATTATTTGTTTGTATGTTGATTGATTATAGATGTATCCATTATATATATAGATATATACTGTATGACTATATTGGTGAAACATGCGCAAAACACAATGTCAAGCACAACTTCATCAGACATACTACCTGTTTGGTTCAAGATCATCTTACCAGCTTAGGTGTCAACTCCAAACACATGTTTTGCTTATTAAGGTGTCACTAAACAACATGTGAATGTATAATCTTGGCGTTAAACAACATGTGAATGTATAATCTTGGCGTGCCGCCAACATGAATACCGGGCCCCGCTGCAAAATTTTCACATGGATGATTGAGAAGTTGCACACTTAAGTAAAGACGACAACTGGAAGGCTGAGTTGTTTGTAACGGCATGAGAACAACATGTTGCGGCCCTCGCAGCCTGCCTTTTTTAGCTTCCCAACCCACCCAGCCCCACCCTCTGCACCCTCTCTCTTGTTTGCCCCAAACAAGGCTAAGAGTCAAAGGGGCTCCTCCGATTGTATTCATCTCTAAACGGGATTGCTGGGATGCAATTCCCAAAATGGCATCCGATTGAATTCCCTCTTCAACCCCCTAAAAAAACACCTGAAACCCACCCCAAAAAGTGCTCATCTGCAAAAAGTTGACCTCTGTTTGTGGGCAACTCGGCAAGCTCCATTTCTCGTTCCCTATCGCAGCTTTCGAAAGGCCAGCCTTTTCGAGTCCCTTTCGGGTTGAAGCCCAGAGCTTCTCGGTTGAAAGGCCCCCGAGAAATGGCGGCTCCTTTTGGCTTCCCACCGAAAGCAAGGCAATGAAGTCTGTACAACTTCCCATCTGGGAACTGAGTCCCAACGGGCATATAAAAGTGGTGAAAGAAACAGCCACGCCACTTAGTCGGCTGGTAAGTTATTGCGTCGTCTCTTTTGAGGGAACCAACCTTTTTGGGTTGCGTAGGGAAACCCAAAGGAAACCGAGAGCAAACCACTAGCAATCCGGCGAGCCGAGGGGAACTTGACATCAAGGCCGAGGCGTTCTCGGGCTTCAGATCCCTGTACATGATGCCGCGGCCGTGCAGGTACTCGATGCCTGAAGATGCGCAGCCAGAGGCGAAGTGCGCTCGCCCCCCCCCGACGCTCGGCAACAACCCCCCAACGCTTTCTCGGAGATGGTACCCATGTTGTGGTTTTTGAATGCCTGCAGTCTCCTTCTGACCATGTAAAAATGGTTGGTCATGACCCAAAATAAAGGGGTCATGGACCCATTTTAAAAGGGTCGGAAGCAGACTCCAGGGATGCTCAGGTATACTGGCAGGTGCACCAAGGAAAACCCGACTTCGGAGCACTTCGAGGGAGAAAACAAAACCTAGGGCAGGAGAGATAGGTTCTTACCAGATAGTAAAAAAAACAACAAGGCATTATTCCAAAAAGGACCTCTCGCTTTGAGATCATTCGACCGAGTGTCTATGCGGCTCTTTGCAGCAAATCCGCTTTGAATGTTCATATGTCATGAGAGTGAATGCTCTTATTGGAGTCCCGCGCAAAAAAAGGGCGCCTGAAACTAGGGAGTGTCAGCCACAGTTATCCGAACTCTCACTAAAACTTTTGTTGCTGTTGACCCGCCTGCAAAAAGTTTAACTTTTTAGAGGTTTAGTGGGAAATATCTATATTTCCCAAAAAGTTAAAGTTTAAAGATCCACCCCAATAGCAGTCAAGAAACGGGACACGCACCCACTCAAAATCAACCCGGGCTTCTGCTTGCGTTAACACTCTTCCCCGGCTTCGGAATGTCAAAAGCCCGACCACCGTGCTAGGAGGTTAGGATCAGGGTGCCAACTTTCTTTTCCGCTGTCTACCTTAGAGGCACCCTCCCCCCAAAAAGAAACGGCAAAAGGGCACTGGAAAATCTAGCCTTGTTTGTGCTCACGCCGCCATCAGCGGCGTGAGCCGAAACGCTCATTTTCTTGACTGGGGGGGTTGGGGTGGGGTGGGGGGTGGGGTGGGGTGGTAGCGTTCACAAGAAGCTTCGTGCATTCCCCATTGGCATGGCCGCGCGCAGCTCACGGGGTGGGGTGGGGGGTGGGGTGGGGGGTGGGGTGGGGTGGTAGCGTTCACAAGAAGTGCTTCGTGCATTCCCCATTGGCACGGCCGCGCACAGCTCACGGGGTGGGGTGGGGGGTGGGGTGGGGTGGTAGCGTTCACGAGAAGTGCTTCGCGTGTTCCCACTGGCACGGCCGCACACAGCTCACGGGGCGGGGTGGGGGGTGGGGTGGGGTGGTAGCGTTCACGAGAAGTGCTTCGCGTGTTTTCCACTGGCACGGCCGCACACAGCTCACCCGGTGGGGTGGGGGGGGGGGGGGGGGGGGGGGGGGGGGGGGGGGGGGGTGGGGTGGGGTGGGGTTTTCTTCGTTCCTTCCAGCTGTGCAGTTTGTTGGGGGCAATCATTTCAATGCTTCAGACTCAAGGCTGTCAGTTATCTTTCTGGGATCTTGTGCATGGACTTGAGACGTTGTGCATGACTTTCTGGGATCTTGACATTTGCACACATGCCGCAGATGGCAGGCTCCTCCCAAGAAACGCAGTGCCTAGCTCTTGTGCTCCTCTTGCGACTGGCATGCGTAAGCTTGCTGCCACTCCTAGCATGCTGGCAGCGAGAACCTGTGGAAACCGTGGATGCTCTGCATGAGCTTTTCAGTGCTTCTGCTCGAAATGATGCTGTCTCATCCATAGTGCGGGCTGCTGCGCAGGCGCAGCATGACTTCCAAAGTCTTTTGCGGGGAAGGCGCTGTCTGCTTGATGCTTGGCTTCGCTATGCACGCACTCGATCCACTCTGCCTGCGGAAATTCAGGCCGCCTTAGTTGTCTTTAGATGTCGGTCTCAACGACCGCTGACAACAGGCGCTCGCAGGCTGCCCAGACTGACATGCAGGACTGGATGGCGGATTGCTTGTCCCAGCTTCATCTTGCCTTGGCCGCCGACGGTCTAGCATGCTTCTTTTTGAGGTGGGGTTTGGGGGGGTGGTTGGGTGATCAGAGCCTTCTATTTTTCACCGTCTCTATTTTCCGAAGATTCAGGACTGCGTACATGTCTGCGGAAGATGTAGACGCTCCAGCCTTTGGCAGCGGTTGCGAGCAGCCTTCACCTGCCTTTGACCAATGTATCGACCGCAGCTGGCAGGACATGAAAAAGCACATTCCTTCTGAGATAGCGGCGAAAGACCCTAAGAGTAAGCTCATCAATGGAAACTTGTGGACGTGGATCTACTCTTGGCAGTGGCGACGAAACTGTGGAGGGGACTTATGGGCTGCAATGCCAGCCTTGTTTCACAGCTGAGGACATCATTGATGGAGGAACAAGGGCTCGGTTCCGCTGTGCGAAACGGCCAGCGCCGCTAATGGCGGCGTGGCCTTGTTTGTCTCCAAAAGGGCAAGCTGTTCGCACCTTCGGGGTCAAGCCATGTATCCCAATCATCCCTACTCCACCGCGAACAATGGATCCCTTACGTAAATCAGGGCTGGCATGTATTCTGAACAACCAGTAGGATACATCCAACCACTACCAGCATTACAAGGATGTGGCTCCTGACTCCTCTAAATCAGCTCGTGAAGGTGCTGTTATAACTGGCCAAAATGCATCCTTTAAAGGATCCTGTTTCATGCACAACGGGCAAAATAATTACACATATTTCTTCTATAACCATGAGATAGTTTGGCTTTAAAGTACCCCACAACCCCATTCTAACTTCTTTAGTCCCTTCGTAGTACTCACCTTACCTTTAGCTGGTTTGGAAATTGGCAGCTGAACCTCATGATTACTCTCTGCATCTCCCCAGTATCCACAGCATCCGTTGAATCAGGCAGTTTACAACGACACTTAAACTGCCCTTACAACCATTGTCATTGCCTACCCCTACCCGAAGTGGGTTGAACATGCAAGTATGTGGCCACCACAACGAGACATTGCTGCACCAAAACCCTAAAAACATAATATCCAAAAGGAGGAGCAGTGGCAAAGTGGACTCTAATAGCCTGTCTACCATGCCAAGCTTTTTAACATCCCAGTAGCTAAGCATCATACCAAGCCCCAAGGTCTGTCCACCACCCCCTGGCTGCCTGAGTGGATCTGCCACACAGGTAAACAAATTACTATCCAAACCAAAACGTCATTTTGGTACAGGAAATCAGGGATTCATATGCCCCAAACATATTCCCAGTAATTGATGGGAACTCGGAATAACAAACCCATTCTACTAGGTGTCACCCACAAAAGCTATCCGGAACACCCCCAATCAAAATCAACCAGGGGGTCTGTTTAATCCGGGGTGCTCTTGCCCGTGAGCAAAAGGTCTAACCTTTTGAAGGTGTAGTGGCAAAGCCTTTTGTTTTCAAAGGGTCTAAGGGGCCCGGTTGCATCTGCAAATGTTGCTATAGTTCCAAAAGCTGAATTAAGCATTCAGACAACATTACGTCCAAGATACCAACCCTCCAAAAGTGATGATTCCAACCACATTTCACCCAGCGAAAAGCACCCCCCTATTAATAAACTGGTTGGTTGATTATGATGGGGTCAACATGAATCAGCGAACATGGTGAACCGGTCGGCCTCCAAGTGGGAACAACCCCTACTTTTTTGTTGGTATCCATGTTGTGTGGTTTTTAAATGGGGCCAATACTGTGGACGGACAAAATGCGCAACCCAAAAAAACCTGGAATGATGATGTTTCCTGTAAATGCCAACAAAATATGGTTGCAACCATGGTTTCTTAGGTGCGAAATGGACTTCGTCCACAGTATGACCAGCCCCCGCGGCCAAGCCCGACTTGCCGCGCTGGCCTAGGGCAATGGAGCCCGCGAAGAATTGGCACTGGAGCTTTGTCAAGGCCTCACCAGGCGCCACCCAGCGACCCCAGCGCCCCCAGACGTAGACGGGTTCGATCCCTAGGTGCCAAAGGCAAAAAACATATGTGCAAAGATCTGCAGACATGTGCCTGCTAGATGCTTGTACACATATATATATATATATATATGTACTATGTACATATATATATATATACTATGTAGAAATATGGCACCACGCCCCTCCAGGGACCTACCTGTTTGTTGAATTCACTGGTATTTGCATACGTATATAACAAGTGAGCTTTAAAATGCTTAGTTACGGGGTATAGGCCAACCTCTGCCCCACCTCCTTGAGCTCACTTGGGGACACTTCACCCAACACGAGAGCTGCCATGATGATTGGAAATCAAAAGGGGGCAGTTTAATCTCGAGTCATTCTGATGGCTGCGGGCTACTCTGCGGGCTACTCCAATATTCACACACAGCCAGTATGTATCCAAATGGAGTGAATCCTTGCCCTTCAGATAAATAGTTGCCCTTCAGACAAGTACAATTATTGACCTTGAGACATTGCCCTTCAGATAAGCAGAATAGTTGCCCTTCAAATAAGTATAATTATTGACCTTGAGACATTGCAACAGCACCCAAAAGGTAGTTCATGCGGGGGCCTGAGCATATATATATATATATACACAGTATATATATATATATATACATAGACTGTCTATGCAGGCACACACGTTTTGAGCATATCTGATATGTGGTGCGCATGCTTATCGCTTGCTGTAACCAAACGATTGACCGGATTAATGAGCAACCGAACGCTCAAAGGATCCATCAATCCCGGCCAAACGGTGGGAAGCACGCGGCATGCAATCCCATGAGCGATCGTTCCAACACCAGGAGAATTCCATGAACATACAAGCCCAGACTCCCAGTGGATTCCCATGGGACAAAAAGGCGACCTTTTTGGGCAGCTGAGTTTGAAGGGACCCCCTCCAAATTAATAAAGCAACAAGTTTGCGGACGGGCTCTTTGAGCCGAAGCAACATATGTCAACAAGCTTTCGGCTCCCCAGCAGTCACTTACATTCCGTCTGCTAGACCTCCACAAGTGCTTTCACTAAAACCAACTAGTACACTGGGCTGCCCGTTTTCGGATGCGCTAAGGCTTTAGCTTTTAGTGGGGTAAATGGAACCCACAAATACAAACACAAGGCTAAAAAGCTAAGGAGCCGGTTGGCCGGGAACCACCAAGTAAACTGCAACTTGTCGTGTGTCATTGTTTTCTTTTGACTTATACCTAGACTATCTAAATATGTTTTGACATCCGCGTAAAATGCTCCGTCATCATCACTCTAAATTTCAATTGGCTCACCCATAATTTTAAAAGAGGGTGTCGTGAAAACCTCAAACCAAACACCCATCTCAGTTTTCCTTTGGGTAACTGAACAAATCCATTTCGGCCATGTTTTTTTTTTTTTTGAGAATGGTTTAAATCCGGAAACCAAGAGGAAACCCCCCGATTTCTCAGCTTGGGCCCGAAAAGCCCGGGAAAACCCAGCTATTCAACTTGAAACATAACCGGTTTCTGGGGTCCGGCCCAAATAAAACACCCATTTCTTGGGTTTCAAGAGGAAACTTTAGGTCTTTCTCTTTGGTCCATTGGCCCCTTTTCGAAAACCGCCTGCCTGCCTGCCACCAAAAACTTAAAGAGGCGGCGGAAAGCGAGCGGCTCGCGCATCCGATCGAGGGCTCCGGCGCCAATGGCGCGGATGGCGTAGAAGAGGTCGCCGCCACCCAGGAACTCCGTGAGGAAGTAGACGTTGTGCTTGTCCTCTCGAAAGGGCAACCTTTTGTTTCAACCTTGGCACACTTCTTTTTAACCTAAACCCCTTTTTAACCTCAGCACGAAACAACCCCGCCCCAAACCAGACAACAAGAAACATAGCAACAAACACAGCAACGACAACACACATAGCAACTGGTTGATTCGGATGGGGTTAACATGAATCAGCGAAAATGGTGAACAGGTCGGCCAAGTGGGAACAACCCACAAGTAGGGGGCTGCCTTTTTTGGAGTTGGTACCCAGGTTGTTCCAGGATTTGACTCCTTTTCAATATGTTCAATCATCGTTCTGTTCAAAGACCTGCCGTTTTCCCTGGGTTTCTGGGGGTTTTCTGGAAAGATCCGGATCCCTGGGTTAAGAATGGAAATGGAAGGTACCCCTAGATGTGATTGGTGGAATCCTGCGGGTGTTGAGTCCAGGTGAATGAACCCACCAGGTGAACTAGGCAACCAAGGGAACCACTTTGCTTAAGGTCCTCCACTAGCTTGAGGTTAAGGGTACCAACTTTTGTTCACGTCTATTTTAGGGGAACCGAATCTCCCAACTAAAGGGGTGAGAAAGGGCACTGGGGGACCTAGAACATGTTTGGATTGGTGGAATCCGTTTTGTTTTGTGGATCTACCCTTTGGCAGAGCTCTGAACTTAAGGGATTCTGATCTTTTTCATTTGCCCGAATGCTGACCCCTGTTTCTCAATATGGGGCTGGGTGGTTGAATCCCGACCCCCAAAAGCGGTACTCACATTCTCCCGATCGTGTCCTGGACGGGCGAACGGATTGGTGGAATCCAAGTTCTTTCTGTGGATCTTTGGCAGAGCTCTGAACCTTCAAGGTGGATTTGAACGTATATCTAGACGGTAAACGGAGCTGGAATCCGATTTTTTTTTGTGGATCCACTCCTGGAGGAGATTAAACAAAGGTACTAAACTAAGTCTACAAAAAGGACGAACAGCGGGAACGAATGGGTAAAATCCATAAAAGCGCGAATCCAACGTGTTTTTGTTTTTAGTATTCGACTCTCATCTTTTTCATTAGCCCTAAGACTCTGACCTCAAAAAGGGTACCTATACCTGGAGTCTCCCTAAGGACCCGAAATAAAAATGGGTCCATGACCCCTTTGTTTTGGGTGATGAAAGAAAGGGTCCTTAGGGAGACTCCAGGTAAAAACCAAAGATCCTTCGTTTAGCCCCTTAGATTCTGTCAACACACCAGGTAGAAACAAAGATCCTTCGCCATTACCAAAAGTGGTCAACTATTCATAGTTGTTTAGCCCCGATTCTGTCACAGGGAACCATTAAACTGGTTGGCTTCCTTAGGGCTTTTTAAGTGGGTATGTCGCAATAGCAAGCCCCAAGAAAGACACGGCTCGATCTCTGCCCTCAAGATGGCCCCTTTTTGAGGTCAGATTCTTAGTGTCAAAGAAACAGATTAGAGTCCTGGACTCCAAAAAGCACTCTGGACTCGCGCCTTTTTCGGGGAAGTCACCTATTATTCCCCGGTAGAAGGACACAGCAAGGCCCCCCCAAGAAAGCCCCGGAAGGGACCTTCTCAAAGCGATAATCAAATGCTCCCGATCGAGCCTTGAAAACTATCCAAATGTATCTGCTGAGCTCTGAACTTTCAGGTATGGGATTGAACGGTTAGGATGTGGCTTTTGTGGACCCACCCTGTAGGACCCTTAGGATATTACAAAGAGTGCTGCAGGATTACTGAAAAAGGACCACTAAACCCTGAAACCCTAAAAAGCTGACAGGGTGGCTGGGAGCCCAGATTTCTGGTTGGCCTTGTCCCTTGCCCTATTGCCCCGGTTTTTAGAACACGTGGCTCTCATTTCGGATCTGCGTCCTGGAAGGTCTTGATGAACTGCACGATGCAGGGATGGTAGCACTGCGCATTGACCTCTGCGGAACTTCTTCCCTTCGAAGCGCCACAAGGGGAACCAGTACAGACAGGCGTCCTACTGATGGCTGCGAAATCCAGAGATCGCACCACGAAATGAAACCATGGTGGCAACCATAAGTTGTTGGTATTTGCATGAGAATCATCGGAAACCAGGGTTTCTGAGGTGGTGCGAAATGGATTTCGCAACCATCCACAGTATTGGTCCTTGAACACACAGCGCTTGCGCCAACAAATACACACACACATAAATTTGACGCAGGTTCTACCTTTCTAACCCAACTAAAGGGCACGGATCCCTTTCTTGGGGAGAAAATGCCACATATTCGACCTGCCTGGTTTTGAATTTCGGGCAAGGAGACACGCCTCCCTCGCTTGTCGAACCCCGAAGGTTGGTTTCCGTTTGTCTTCCCTTTAGCCAAAGCCTGCTTGTCTTTACAAACATGCAAGATAGACCATGCCTCGGCCAAAATAGGGAAATCTTGCAAAGATGGAGGTTGACCCTTTGGCGTGCCTTTAATTACCAACCAGAAAGGAGACCACAATTTGGTGTGTGCCTTTCTTTTGAGGACCCCTCAAATGGATTTTGGTGTTCCTTTCGATTTCCCTTCCAAACCACACAAAGGAGGTACCGTCAACACAAATGATTTTGAGAACGCCCCGCTCATTTATCCCAAAAGAGACGTGCCACTTTGTCTGTGTGGTTGCATTTGTTCTATGTAAACCGAGTGATGCATCATCGCTATTCTAATGCTTTGAGGTGGGCTGGTTGCTTGCATGGAGGCTAAATATGCTCCCTGGGATTCAGTTGCTACCATTTTTTCAAAGGGGGTTTATATAACCACCATTATTTACTGAAGGAATTTCAGCATCCAAATTGCGTCAGCCATTCTTTGATGGGGGTTGAACCCTAGGGCACTGATACGGGGACATATACTGCCCTGATCCCCTTATATGTGTAGTATGTGTCATGCAGTCAGGGCATCCGTGAATCTATTCTCTGGTTGGTCTTTGTGATTCTATGTCTTTTCCCTGGTCAGTGTTCTCGGGGGTTTAAACATTTAATTTCGTGGTTTTGAATATGTCCTTTGACTGCTTTCTGGTACTAGGTCCTCCAGGGGGAAAAAGGCACTACTGGGGGACCTAGGGTAGGTTCCTCTGTAAGTGCCACTTTTGGGAGGTCCCAAAAGTGAAATTGAGGGCTGCAGCCACCAAGGGTCTTGAAGAACCGTCTTCTCTTGGTGTCCTTTCGGGACCATTCACACTTGAGCCATAATCAAAATGGTGCACCCAGAATCCTGCGAAGAATGGACAAGGCGGCTGCGCCCATTTATGGTTCGGATTGGCCCTTACTAACCTTCATCTACCCGGGTTTTGATTGTGGCTCAATTGGTGATTTTGCACCCCCCCAAATCGCAATTAATAATAACCCCATATTCATCAACCCCTGCTTTTTCGTATCTGGCAGGTGCTTTTCGCTGGGACAAAAAAACAACAACCACTTCAGGGGAACGGTCCCCGCCCCAGCCGTGGCTCGTTTGGCGCCCGTTCCCCCCAAAAAAATAACCGGCGCGCCCGATGCCACGCCCGATGCCACGTTTGCCTCGCGCTCCATGACGATGGCGCGCTCTTGGCGGCCTTTCACCACCTCGGTGAATGTAACAAATGGCCATGAGTCAAAATCCAAATCGTACCCCCAACGAACATCCCAATCCAACCACTAAAATAAAGCCTAAACTGGGTGGTGAATTCACCTACCAAAAATGGTTGATACCACAACAGTTTTGACCACCACAGCCAAATAACAGCCCCCAAACCCAGTAGATCCCAACACCCATCTACCATCGTTGAGAGCCCCAAAAAACGGGTTCCTTAGGCCTAGGGCCTGGGGGACCCCTTAAACCAATTCCCCCCTTTTTGTTCCTTTTTTTCGGGCCTTGAATGGGTGCCAAAGCCAGTGGATCCTAAAACCGGGGGTGCTGGTGCCTGGAGCCGGTCCCGAACCCCTCTCAGCCCGCAGTGGATCCCAGGCAATGCAATCAGCAGCCCGCCATGTTCCCCTTTGGTTTTCGGCTGGCTTTTCGCCTTGCTGACCTATACAGCGATATGGAATCAACGGGAAAGTGCATGGACAAACCAAACAACACGAAAGACAGAACCACCAGGAACATGGAACATGGGCTCCATAAATGCCCAAGGCTTCTATGTACTTGCATAGTTAGCCAACTGAAGAATCCTGTTGCCTGTGGCGAAACGTCTGGGATATGCTGGGTGCGGGAATGAAATAACAACTCGTGGCCCCAGAGAAGACTCCCTCATGCACGGTTGAAGTGCCATACTGTGGATGGACGAAATCTACTTCGCACCACCTACGAAACCCTCGAACGATGATTCCTTTTGCACATACAACAAACGTTGTTGTTTCCACCATGGCTTCTGAACGGTGGAGCGAGAGACGGATTTCGATTTCAACCATCCACAGTATCAAGATGGCAAGTACAAAAAGCAAAGAAATCGCATGGGGCCAGCTCAGTCATGATATGCACAGCAAACAAAAACACTCAACCCTCTCACGGGTTGGCTGGCCCACCATCCAGGCAACAAACAAGCCGGCCATTGCAGATTCCAAACTAAAAACACGTTGGAACCATCCCCAATCATGTAGAAAGGCTTCTAGCAGACCTCATTGAACATGGCGGAATATGCTACATGCGCAACACAAATTTATCTGATTGAACAAACTGGTCCCTCAGTGGATACCTTACTTTATCTTATCCCTCCTTTGATTCAAGGTGAGTTACTTTTGCGTTGCTTTAATGGCACACCCAAGATTGAACTGCTGATTTTGTGGGACCCATTTCCGTGCTTGATTACAAACACACACACACACACACTGAACCCCAACTTGAGATTTGAACTTCTATTTTCTTAAGCCTGGAAGAAACAACGTATTTCCAGTAACATATTCTTGAGCAAATGGAAGCAACTATTGTTCTCTCGTCATGTTAGTCAAGGGCAAACATGATCTCCGATGGTCTCAAAGATTCACCCAGTCATGGCCAATCAACTGGGTTCAAAGTGATCCTCTAAACAGGCTGCCCGTTTTCAGATCCCCTGCTACAAGTGACTAACTTGTGGGTTAAACTCGGAAACTACCGCCAAACCAACTAAAAAACTACAAAGCTCAGGCACCGGATGGCTGGGAGGGAGCCACCAAGAAAATTGCGGTTTAGAGGAAAACCAAACCACGCAACAGCATTTTGGCACATCATACTGACCGCGGAATTTTGTTCCCCAGTTCTATCAATGGGTGTTCCCCTCCAAAAGTGATGAGATCCCACTACATGGGGACACCCCCCTATTAAATTCACCAACCCGGGATGTATTAATCCGGGGTCAACGTCTTTTTTTTCACAAGCCGGCCGGGGATTTCTAATGAAACTTGCTTGCTGTTGACCCCTCTGCAAAGAAAAATAACTTTTTGTGGGTTTAATGGAAAACCCCTTGATTTCCCAAAAGTTAAAGTCTAAAGATCCAACACATTCAATAGCAATCAAGTGAACGGCGAGCAGTTTTCGACGCCTGCGCTTTCTTCACGCACTTCAAGGCGTACTGCGGCGCATCCTGCCGCGGTGGATGCTCTAAGGGGTCATGGACCCATTTTTAAAGGGTCCTCAGGGAGACTCCAGGTACCCTCAAAAGACACAACCAACTAGGGCAAGGGCACAAAACAAAACTGGGCATTCCTCTGCCGTGATTGACCACGGGCTTACGGTTGAGTATAACACATGCTCCGTGGAGAACGCAGCAAGCAGCATTCCAGTTTTTTTAAACAGGAAGTACTTCCAGGGTTTCATTTCCTCATTCCACCTAAGAAACCCTAGAATGATATGATCCCCTGTACATACCAACAACCGTTATGGTTTCCCATGGTGTCTTGGGTGGTGCGAAATGGATTTCGTCCACAGTATCTGCCTTCCGAGCTCATGGGCTGCATACTTTTCGGGAAGCATGCGGACCCCGGATTAAACCCGGCAGATAGGCCTGGAGTCTCCCTAAGGACCCTTCAAAAATGGATCCATGACCCCTTTATTTTGGGTAACGGCCCTATTTTTAAAGGGTCATGGAGACTCCAGGGGGCTGCGTTTCCTCTAAAGTGAAGGATTCTCCTCTTAAATGGGACAGCCCCACAGAAACATCAACCCGGGCTTGGTGAATCCGGCGTTTCCATTATCTTAATGGCAACCAAAGAGCTCAGACCTTTTGTTGGCCACTGAGGACGTGAATCCGTAGTCCCCAGACCTCCCGTGCTGTTCGGGGTTTTGAGGCGAAGGGGACTCCTCAAAAGGCTCTCTGGTATATTGCCATGTCTTAGAAGGGATAGCCTCAAAACGAGATACACCCTATGGGTTGCTTCTGATGTCCCTTTTATCCCGCGTCTAAGTTGTTAGCGTCAGAACAAGACACACACACCCATACTAGGTCCTCCAGTAGCGAGCTTAGAATAGGGGTATTCTTTGTTTCTGTAGTCTATTTTAGTAGGGGAACCCTCCCAAAAAAAAGGGTAAAAGGGCACTACGGGGGGGACCTAGCTACCATAATAGGTTTCAGCCAACCGTTGGAGCGCAGAGTTTTCTTGAGTCAAAACTCGCTTCGACTTCGCCTTTGCTCGAAATCTAGCTGGGGGCGGGGTAAGACCGCTTCTTTTGAAGGGGGTGTACGACAAGTAAAGCAAAACAAGTACACCAGGTTCCAAATGGTCCGAAAGAGGAATGCAAGGGGCTTCCGATATTATTCTCGTCTAAAATGGTTCAAACCTTCAAAAAGTGACACGAAAGTCAGAATCCGAACTCAGGAAGTGAGACAAATTTCCACACCCAGACGTCGAAGCCCCCCCTTCCCCACACTCCCCTCCTCCCCCCATGCCCCCCCATACTGTACCTCTCCCCATCTCCCCCACACTCCCCTCCTCCCCCCATCCCCCGCCCATGCCTCCATGCCCCCCCCCCCTACCCCCTACCCCCTACTCTCTCTCTCTCTCTACCTACCTATCTATCTTTTTGTCCATCGAACTATTTATCCATCTCTGTGTCCCTCTACATATCTATCCACCCTACCGCATCATCCCCCTACCCCCTACCCCCCTACCCCCCACCCCCTACCCCCTGCCCCCTGCCCCCTACCCCGCACCCCCTACCCCCTGCCCCCTGCCCCCTACCCCCTACCCCCTCCCCCCTACCCCCTACCCCTGCCGTCTCTCCGTCTCCCGCCTTCTTGCCCTTCGGGGTCACCAGGCGCACCACCCCGAAGGTGCCGCGGCCCACCACCGCTTTGCACTGGCGAAGCGCTGAAACCGACCGAAGCCGAGGCTCGTTGAGGAAAAATGGGTCCAAACCACTTAGGGGAAAGCTGATAATAATTGAAAGGGCATAGGCACACAAAAACCAGATGTGGATCCAAAGGGCCCCGCGATTCCCCAACAGCAAGCTTGAGAGAACTTGGGCGATGTCCTAAATAAAGTGATTCGCCCTCAAGCGGGCCCTCAAAAATGACACCAAATCTGACAGATCCGACTCCAAGTGAACTGGTTGCTTCGCCCCAAAGGACAAAAGGGTCCTTTGGTCTGTTGGTCTTTCAGTCTCCCTTGATGGTTTTGAGCCTGCTGGTTCTGAGGTTCCGAGGGGCTTCTCATTTAGCCTCCACAATAACCAGCGGTGCAAATGGTCAAATCACTGGGCTCCAAACCACCCATCTAATAAAAACTGGAACAAAACACATGGGAGTCCGGAATCCATGGTCTGATTCTTTGAACCAATTTTGCCAATCCATTGGGGGTAACTGAAGTTTAGCAATTTCGGGCACCCTTTCCTTTCGCTGAATGTCGTGAAATTCAAGCAATCCAAACCTCCAGTCAAGCAATCCAAACCTCCAGTGACCCGGTTCCCCATTTCAAGTGAGACACCCACAAAATACAAAGGGAAGACAACTCAAACTATACTCACACTCACTGGGTGTGCTTGGCGATTACGAGCCACTACAGTGGTGTTGCTCCCCTGTGTTGCTGTGTTGCTCCCCTCAATAAATGGGACCCTCAATAAAGACACGCCCACAAAATGAAAGCCAACATTGAAATTCTAAGTGCCAAAAAAAAGTCTGCCCCCACCCTCCATTAAACAAAGAAACAAATTTGCTAAGCGGCTTGGTTTCCCTTCAACGCTCAAAAGAGGTACAGTACGCGGAAAACCGTTTTCCCGGAAAGGCTTCCCGAGAATACCCTGCCCCACAAAGCAGTGGCCCTTTAAACCAACCCAGGAAAAGGTGCCCAAAAACACACAGCTTGCTTTTAAACCCAAGCCAAAACACACAGATTCCTTTTTAAACGAACCAACAAAAGGTACCAAACGCGAAAGCACCAGCAAGCGCACACGCGCGAACGCCGGACACAACCGTGTCCAGGCCTGCAAGTCGGAGATGGAGAGATTCAGATCCTGGAGTTCGGAATCGGAAAGGGTGGTGGGCTAAGCCAAATGACCCAAATTGCTTGGACAACCCCCCCCCAAAAAAAAACAAAACGGTTCAGGCAGACCAATCCAAATTGGGTCAACTTTTTTTGGGAGGAGAACCCAGCAATTGTTTGTAGAGGCCCTCATAACAATTTTACAACCCCAAGCCCAGATGTTGTGGGGAATTTGGATGGCCACCCTTCTCGTCCTCTCAACAAGACAGTAGAATACCAGCAGTATTGTCAGCGACTCATATTCCCATTAGCCTCAACGAATCAGTGGGACTTAGTCAAGTTAAGGGCTATCAAGCACCAAAGTTTAAACCGGGTGCTTTCTTTTTGTCGACAACGCATCTGCCATCGTTTCTCAGATGCCCAGTGGCTATGGGAAAAAAAAGGGGCCTCCTGTGGTTGAGTTTAAAGGGAACCCTTCCCCCCAAAAAAAAAGGAAACAGGGGCTGAATCCGCTGGGCAGCTGGAACTCCCAAACTTGAAACAAAGCAAACAGACGTGACTGGGCTGTGCTCAGCTTCCCTGCGAAAAGTGAATCACTTTTAGTGGGTTAAATGGAACCTACCACTAAAACCCCTTAAAAAACAAAACTTGAGGGGATGGCTGGGAACCACCAAGATGAAAGGTCCTTGTGGAGGTAGCCCGGTCGCAAATGCGAGCACAAAGCCGGCTGTCTTTTAACCTTGCATATCCAAGTTGGGGCTGGTTCCCCCATTCAAAATTAATGTCTCCACCGCCAATCTTTTTAAACAAGCACGCCCCCCCCCCCCCCCCCCCCCCCCCCCACCCCCCAATTTTCGGGCCCCACGTCTGCTGGTGTTCGGAAGAAGGATCCTCATGGGAAATTTGGCCCTAGACGGCTGGAATTGAAACTTGTACCATCAGTGTCCCCCAAAAAATTGGCGCTTTGGATTGGTGAGTTGCAGAAGGCTCTGCAAGGACCAGGGGTCAAATCCCCAGATGGGTGCCTACGAATATGCGAAACACATGCTTGTCCTTAGCCGCAGCTGGAGTTGATTAGGCGGCCTTTAACCCACCCAAACTCAGATAAATCTAGTTCAGGACTTGATGCTTCGACCACCCAAAGGGGCACAAGTATAGGGACCCCTGGCAACTTGAGCATTTCTGACCAAGTGTTGCTGAAACAGGCTCGCCATCCTGGGGAAACATAGGGACTCATAGACACTCACCCACTAAACTCAACTAATTGTGGCTAAAGGGGCAAGTACCCTAACAACTTGAGCACTTGCGCATTTCCGACCAATGTGGAAACTGGTTGGAAACAAATCGGCACGGCTTGAAAACGACTCCAGCCGGTCGAATCCGAGTCGAGTAAAACAAGAATCAACGCGCGCGCCTGCAACTGCATCCGGCGCTCGAGCTCGTCCCGGAAGTGCCCCACGATCTGGAAGAACTCCTTGGCGTTTCGGGCTTCTCTTTCTCCTCCACTTGCTTGAGTCTCGTGAAAACCCAGTAGTGAGAGGTTTCCTTTCAATCCAACAGGGGAAAACCTAACATATTCTTAACCAAATGGAAGTTCCGGTGCGAGAGCTAGGGAATGAGACATGGAATGAACCGGTGGTGGGATTCCCTTGTAAAGGAAACCCCAATCGGGGATGTCCTTTTTTTCCCCGGGATGATTCCATGTCTCATTTCCTGAGCACCAAGCTGTTCATTCCCAGATGCCAGGTATAGCCCTTGCATAGGTTCCAAAGCCCAGGTCCCAGTTACAATGGTGGGTAATCAATCATGATCCTTTTATAGCAGTGGATGCCAGGTATAAAAAGCCCTTGAATAGGTCATGACCCTTTTTAGCTATTGAAGCGGGGTTCTTTGGCTTGTCTATGCATGGAATCGCCGCAATGGAGATGGGTAAATATGAGCTTGTCTTTCGTTAGGGCAACCCCAAAATGGTGGCTGTAACCCACGGGGGGAACCCACAAAAAGACACAGCCGAATTCGGAATCGCCGTGCTTTTTTCGCGAGAGAACCTAAGCCCCCCTCCCCGAGATAATGGAAAGGCTCTAAAAACCCTGGCGGCTCTTGGATTGGCTCGAAGCTTTCTAGGATTTAGATTAATACTGTGGATGGGCGAAATCCTGCACTACCCAAGACACCATGGGAAACCATTGTCCGTTGGTGAAATCATACCATTCCAAAGTTTCTTAGGTTGTGCAGGATTTTGTCCATCCACAGTAGGAAGGCTAGGATCACTCAGAAATGCAGCAATGCATGGAGGACGCAGATGCCCAAACGCCCATTTCAACTTGAATGTCCATGTTCAACCCCAAACCTCGCAGTGGTTGTTGGCAAGCCCTTGCAGAAGGTAACCGGGACACCATCATATCAGTATCCAGCTGGGGTTACGCAGGTGTTGTCTTTGTTTCCATTTAGAAAGGTGCCATTTTGGGTAGCAGTTTTTTGAGCCACAGTCATGCAACCTAGAGGTAAAACAAGAACAAGCGCACACACACACACACATCATGGGCTATTCTAGTGGTCACTACATGCACTAATCATTCAAGCCTTCATCCTTGGGTGGAATGCGAAGGCGGTGGAAGCTAGAAGCAACACTAGCGTTTACCCGGATTAAGAAACCCCAATTTGTTAGGGGTTCTCTCTGGGTTTAGTGGGGAATCCCTCACCCCCCCAACTGTGGATGGACAAAATCCTGCACAACCTAAGAAATGCTGGAATGATGCTTCCCCTATAAAGCAAACCGCGAAAGGACGGCAAACATGATATCCAATGCTGCGGAGCACCATTAGGAGGAACCGAAACTCCGTTGAGGACCCTCCTCCTCTTTTTGGGTGTCTCGTGTTTTTTGTAGGGGAGTGTAAAAGGGTTGGCCTCAAGGGGAGCCTACGGACAAACAAGTCTACCTACCAGGACCATCGAATGATTGCTTGTGCTGGCCAATGGGATTTTGAACATAGTGCTGGTGTGAAACAACCTCCATGATTCGAAGTGTTGTTCCCTGCGATTCAACCATCGCTTGCCGCGAAAACCACATGGTTCCTCTTGGATTTGGGTGCTTTTCTGGGAAGATTCAAGCCCTGTGTTCAGAATAGTAAAGGACCCCTGCTTGAAGGGCATGTTCGGGCCTATGCACGCCCCGAGTGTGTCTTTGTTGCCTTTATTGGGCGTTCTCCAATTGAACACCAACAGGAAACCATCCAACTTGGGGGGTCCCCAATTTTGAGACAAATGTCACTTCCTGAGTGGATTGCCAAAAACAAGTCCAAACTCGTTATTTACCACTAAACTGGTTTTCCAAAAAAGTTCAAAGTCCAGGAACTCAGGAAGTGAAAGACCCATATGACAATCTTGATAGAACCGAAAAAGAGCTCGCCCTCGGAGAATCCAGCAGGACTCCAGCTTGGCTCCGTGAGACATACAAAACCAGAGAGGTCCGTCATTTTTCGGATGCGGTACCTGTGTTTTGGCGGGTTTTGCAGGAACACCACCATTTTGGAGAGATCCCTAAAAGAAGGACACACCCAAAATAAGTCATGAGTACAGGGGCCTCTCTTGAGCAAGCAGTCTAATCTTTTGTAGATCGCACGTGTAATGGAAAAGCGATTTGTTTCCAAAAGGTCTAACGGGCCAGTCGGTCACACCAAAGACCAACCGCGAGTATAGGAAAAACCATTAGCGACTACTTAGCCTCTTGTGTTGCTTGTGCTTGGCCACTTTCTGACACTTTCGAATCAACCCTGGACGATGTTGCGACATGCCCCAAATTATCTGTACTCTCAACCGCCACAACTGGAACCATGATGATGTAGGACGGTTCGTAGAGTGCTCAGAGTTTGGGCTCATTTCCCCTCACTGGAGCAGGTGTGAGATGACTGTGAGAATAGCAAAACCATGGGCGGGCAAAACAACAGATTTCCCCAATAAAACCACAGACCGCACAGACCAGCTAAGGGATGTCCACCACTAAGTGTCCGTGTTTGAGAAAGAGGCAGCTTTACCTTAGGTGCTGGGACTGAGCATTTCTGGGTGAACTCATTTGCCCCAAGGACACGGAAAATTTAAAACACCGCAACCACATCTCTAGGCGACCCACATCGGCGTCCAGCACTAGGCAGATGCACTCGTCCAAGGCCTGACCGATTTTACTTGGTTACTTGACTAGGTCCTCCAGTAGAGAGGTTCGAATAAGGGTACCTAGAGAGGTGAGAATCAGTTGGTACCAACTTTTTCTGTAGTCTATTTTAGTACGGGAAACCCTCCCAACCAAAAAAAATAAACGGTAAAAGGGCGCCTAGCCGGGGGACCTAGTTAAGCCTTGTTTGAGGGACGCTCGTCCTCGGGGTGTTTGACAGCTGTAAAGGTTCCGATTCAATACTCCCCAAATTGTCGGCCATATCATTCCGACGGTTTTTGTTGACCATGACATATACGATGTGTCTTTTTGTTGAAGATACCCCTTTTGGGCTGGGTTGATAGGGAAAACAAAAGGACAACCACACCCATATGAACCAGGCACAATATTCGTGGTTCCCAAAATTGAATTGTCCAAACTCTCTTCTCGTCCCCTCCAGAAGCAAAATCAGCTGCAACACATGGTCAGGTACTCATATATGATTTGAAGGGCAACCTTTAGCAAACATCATTGCATGGATTGATTTCCACTCTGCATTCGTGGAGTCTTCCCGGTTCACCCTATCGGTATGTTTTCTTTGAGGATACCCGTTTGGGGTTGGTTCAAAGGGAATTCAACGGGAAGCCTCCCAATTTGGGTGTACAATTTCCTCATTTAAGACAAACCCACATATGGATGTGGCTCAAAATTGAACAGGAGGGGTTACACAAGTTGCGGTACCCATGTTTCCACAGGGCAACCCATTTTAGACTTCCGCTTTTCTGGTTGCAGCCGTCTCTGGGCGATTTACTGCGAGCGCTCCCCTTCCTCTGGCTCCGCATTTGCGCTTCATTCGACCTGAACTGGGTCCAGAGACGTTAGAAGAAGTTGGTGCCCGATTTTGTTTCGGTTTTGTCTATTTTAGTAGGGGAACCGAATCTCCCCCAAGGAAACGGTAAAAGTTGGCACCTAGCTGGGTGACCTGGTGAAATACGGAAGTGTCAATCTACCACGAGCAGTGGTTGAAAATCATTGCCCATGCCAAGCTGCTGACGTGTGTCTTTGTGTTTGAGGGAATTTCCTTGGGCGTGGTTTTCAAGAAACCTAGAGTCTCCATGACTTTCAAAATGGCGTCATTACCCAAAATACAGGGGTCATGGACCCATTTTTATTTCGGGTCATGAACACTGAAATTAAATCTATTTCACGAAAGGACCACGTTTCTTGCTGGTTTTTGAGCAGGGAATGAGACTTGGCATGACCTGCTCCAAACCCATGGCGTGGTGTCGACTTTCTTCGGGAATCTCCCGCTTCATTCCCGGCTACCTCTCGCAGCAAGTTTTTCGCGGGGGGAAAAAGTAGGTCCAAACCCACACTCCATTGCGCCAAGCTTTCTATATGGGGCCATTTTGGTTGGGGTCCGGTTTTCCATTTTTGGCGTCATGATGTTGGCCCCGTTTTTCATTAACCCCTGTGTAATATGGGGGTGTCCAGCAGGGTTTCGTGGGGATTTAGACCACTTTTGGACCATCCCATCAATAACTTGGGGTTAACTAATATGTCAACATTACTGTGGATGGTTGTGAATCCATTTTGAACCACCTAAAATCCAAGAAACCATGGTTGGAGCCCTTCTTTGTTGTTATTTACAGGGTAATCATCAGTCCAGGGTTTCTTAGGTGCGAAGCTTCCTAAAACCTACATGGGACCTTTATCATGAGACCTGAGAGGGCGGGTCTTCCTTGGTAGCCTCAGGCGACTCTGGTGCCAAGGGCCTGTCCGGGATGGTCTAAGTCACTAACCCCAAGTCAAAGGGTTGACTTGGAACAGCTGGCTGTGCATGTTGATGGGGAACAGCCTGAAAAACTGCGGGGTGGTTCCATACACCAACATCTAAGTCGTGTCCACTAAGCAACCCATCTTCTTGGAACAGCTCTGGCCTCATTATATTACCATCAAAGTCACCCCCGTTCAGTGGTGGGTTAAAGGGAAACAACCGATTCCATTTTCTGACTTTGCTAACCCCCAGAAACCGTCAAAACAATGACCCCATGAGCTGGCTGTGCAGGTTGATACAGCCTGCAAAACTGCGGGGTGGTTCCATGCATCCACATCTAAGTCGTGCCCACCAAGGAACCCATCTTCTTTCGGGCCCCTGAGCCCTAAGCTAGGCGAGATCATCCATGTTCAGAGAGTTGGGGAGGGAGATTTCATCCATGGGATAGGGGTTTCCATAACGTCAAGTTTTGGCAGTTTGACACCCAACAAAAAAGAACTCAAACAACAGCACACCCAAACGGGGCTTCTCCAGCTAGGGGTTCCCTAAAATCGCTAGATTCCTTTTGTTTCCCTTTCAATGCCAACTAAAAGGGGGTGGGAAATGCATTTGAGAAACTCCTTGAAACCCAACATGAGATGTGACTTCGTTTTCGTGCCGTGTTTGGAGGTTGCCTCGCAGGCAAAACAAAAAGGAAGCCATTTTGAGGGTGCACCATTCCTCCGTTTGTAATTCCCCTGGGAAAAAAGTATGTCCAGTAGTGATAGGGAAAATAACAAAAATCTTAAGCAAATGGAAGATGGGCATGGATTTGAATCAGGAGTTTGCAAGCATTTACTGAGCTTTTCTTGCCATCAACAGAAGCACTACTTCGCCGGCGCCTTGCGCGCTGCTTTATCGAGAAACACACAGAAACTTCAAGCCTCAGCCAGACTCTGGTCAATTGCTACTCGGTTTGGTCTTTCCTCGGCCTTGCCTGAAGCGCTCTGCGCATCCATTTATCACTTGAGAGACGGACCGAAAGCTGGCAATGCTACATCCGCCGAACGTCGCAACGCAGCCGCCACCAAATTGACACGCTGCAACTCCCGAAGGTCTGCTCGCAAAGCCTGCAAGACCTCAGTGCTTGCCTGCTCAATCTGCCGGTCGATTTGCTGAACCAGCTTGCAAACGAGAGCCCACAGTGTGTCACGAGGCGAAGCGGAGTCCATGCTTGCAAACAGTAGATGGGTATGCATTTAATTACATCATTTATAAGTGGCTAAAAATTAAACAGGAGGGGTTACGCAGGTTTTGGTCCATGTTTCCACTTACCAGGGCAACCCATTTTGGAATTCCGAATTTTTTGAGCCACAGCCATTTAGGTGGGTTGTGTCCACCACCGGATTTAGCCAGATGGAAGCATTTGAGGCCTGCCCAAGTGGGACCCGCCTTTTGGCACCCAGGTCCTACGCCTGGGGTAGGTCTTTGGTTCCCAATGGAATCGAGGGATAGGCAGGGTTCCACTTCAAGGGAATTCTGTGGAAGGCTGAAATCGAAATCCGCGAGTCTCGCACCACCCAAGACACCATGGTTGAAACCATCAGGTTTGTTGGTATTTACGTTGGGGATCATATCATTCTAGGGTTTCTGAACGGTGGTGCAGGACTTCGTCCATCCACAGTAGCTTTCGGTAGACTGAAACTCAGGGTGATTGAGTTACCCAAGCGAGACACGTCAAATGCCTAGGCGACCTTTTGGAGAAAGACCTCATAGCCCTGGTACATGGTTTATAAAGCCAACATCTAAACCAGTAGAACCAATATGAACCCATCTATTTCGTTGACCGAACCAATCTAAAAAAGGACAGCTACGGGTGGATGCCCTACATATTACAAGTAGGGAACAAGGGAAACCCCTGTAAATCCCGTGGTTTGTGGTTGGTTTACTTGCGATATGTAAGGCATCCACCGGATGGACGAAATCCACTTCGGAACACCTAAGAAACCCTCGAATGCTGCGATTCCCCAGCGTGAATACCAACAAACCATGGTTTCTGAGCTGCGGTTTTCGAAATGGATTTCGATTTCAACCATCCACAGTTGTGGTCCAAACACATGGATATTGCAAGGGAGCAAGGGAAACCCAATGTAAATTCCTATGGTTTGTGGTTGCTTTGCTTGCAATATTTGGAAAACCTAAGAACCCATGCAAAACCATGGTTTGTTGGCATTGACAGGGGAATCATACCATTCGAGGGTTTCTGAAGGTGGTTTTCGAAAAGCGGATTTCGATGTCAACCATCCACAGCTGTGTTCCAACCAAAATGGGCAAGCTTTGGTGGCTACCGTGGATGCCCGAAATATTGCATGTATGGCTCATGCTTGGTTTACTTGCAAAACACAATGTAAAAATCCCGTGGTTGGTGGTTGGTTTACTTACCAACCCACCGCAACTGAAGGCCTGAAAAACAAAACATCCTAGATAGCCACGTCTTTCTACTTTTCTCGGTCACTGTTGCGATCGGTTTTTTCGGGGTAATGTGCATGGGCAAAACAAAAAGCACCATCCAGGCTAGTTTTCGCCCGGCGGGATCGGTTTTTTCGGGGTAGAGCGCATGGGAGAAAAAAAAAGAAGCACTGGCGATCCACCGGATGGTTTTCGCCTGGCGGGTGAATTCTGAGCTCTGACGCGCCAGCGCCAGATTCCCTGCCTGGCAGGTGGCGGACCTGCGCTCTTGGAGCAACAGCCCTCGCTCGCCGAAGTAGTCCCACCTGGCGGTTGGGGAATTCGGCTGGGGGAAATCGGGGGGGATAGGGGGGGAGGGGGTTGGGGGGGTTGGGGGGGTTGGGGGGGTTGGGGGGGTTGGGAAATCGGGGGGGATAGGGGGGGAGGGGGGGGGGGATGCGGGGGGGGCAACAAAAAACGAGACCCAACGGCTGTTGTCCAGGTTGGACTGCAACTTTGTGGGAAGGTAGCTTCCGACTCCAATCGGTGGTTCGGAGGTTGGGGAGTGGGGCACCCCATCTGTTTTTAGAAGCAGAGGTTCAAATCCGACCAATCCAAACCAAGAATTATATAAGCCTTTGACAAGTGCACCGACAGTTACCACGACCATGTCCATGTGGCTTTCCCTCAAAACATTACAGGGCGGGAAAGGACTACCTGGAGTCTCCATGACCCTTTCAAAATGGGGTCATGACCCAAAATACAGGGGTTAAAAGTTATGGACCCACTTTTTAAAAGGGTCAGAAGGAGACTCCAGGTAACAACGTAAGGAACACGAGGTCAAGACCCCCTCCCCCAGGCGCGCATCTGGATCCAAAGCCTTGCCTGGTAAAGTCCATGCAAGTCCGGCCATTTTTCAGACCGGAAAGCCCGAGATTCGTTTCGTTCCAAACAGGGTCGCCGAGTTTCCGAAAACAACATACAAACAGCAACAACAAGTCGACCAATGTCTAGGTCCTCCAGTAGAGAGGTTAGAATAATACCTTTGTTTTCCTGTAGTCTATGTTAGTAGGGGAACCGACTCTCCCCACCACAAAAGAAACGGTAACAGCTGGCACCAATCTCTGGGGGACCTGGTATAAGCAGGTTTCACTGAAGCCCGCCACTTTGGGAGCTCCGATGGGTGAAGTTGCTCGATATCGGAGCCTCCGCCTGGCCCACGAGCGCGCCGCGCCTCCCCAAGGTTCGGAGCACCTTGTTGTCCTTGCGGACCTGAAGACAAGTGACTGAGTTGTTGAGTGACCCTGGAAAAAAAGGAACCCTTTTTTGGGAAGACCATTTTAGTGGGGCGGCCACCAACAAAAAAAGAGAAATAATTGGACCCGCTGGACAACTGAGGTGAATGTCCGTGAGAAAGAATGGCACTGCTTTCTAAACTACTCCCGCCTCCGATCCCCCAGAAGGTATTTCTTCACTTCTGTTGACTTGTTTGGTAAAACTACCACTCCAACTCAAAGATCCGAGGCGATTCTTCACTTCTGCTAAGTGGTAAAGCTACCACTCAACTGAAAGCCTCTGAAACTTGAGAGTCTTTGTGCTCAACTTGCTCAAACAAATTGACCTCTCCGATCGAGCGCCGGGAAAGGAAGCCAAGCTTCTTGTCCGATTTTGGCCCCCCCAAAAAGCCGTCTCAGGTCTTGGGAACTCGGACAGAGTTCACGGGACACCCTCCCAAAAGATTCGAGGGATCCGAAGCTCAGGAAATCAAAATCGGTTGGAAACGGATCCGGTTGAAAAGAAACATGGTTTAAAAGAACGGAAAAGGAATCAACCCCTATGGCGCCAAAAACACAGAAACCCAAAGAACAGGAGGCTCACGAAAGGGCTTCCTAAAGCGGCCATCTTTGAATGCAAACCACTAAGAGTTCACCAAAGGAAGGCTAGGGCCCTGAGAACTCTTTCACCAAAGGAAGCACACTGAAAGTCTCAGAGGCCAAGCTGCAAACTGGTGCCCGAATAAGCGCGCGACAGCAGGCAGCAGCTTCATTAACCACCCGACGGATCTTCAAACAAAAGACTCTGAACACAGATTTTCTCCGGGTTGATTCCCCGCTGTTCAAAACCAGCCATTTTGCTGCTTTTGGGGCCTGACCCCCTAACAGGAAAACGCCGCGCACAAAGGTTGCACTGAGCGAGTCGCAAAGACAAAGACAAAAAAGTGGCGTAGCATCCCAAGCTGGTAACAAAGTCCCAACCTGGTGGCTGTGGCTCAAAAAACCGGAATCCCAAAATGGGTTGCCCGATCGGTAAGTGGAAACATGGGTACCAAAACCTGCGGTTTGCCCCTCCTGTTTAAATTTGACCCACACGCTGGTAACAAAGTCCCCTGGTCAGAAGTGCAGCCGCTCCATTTCACCAAGATGCGACTGGTTTCATTTTGGCCTGAGGCTGTCACCACAACCGTGCCCCGCTGGATCAAGTAGAAATGCCTCGCCAGGCTTTTTGGCCGGAGATGGCCCAAAACAGTTCAACCGGCCTCAAAAATGACTGGCTCACTTCATGAGTGAAGTGGCCAAAGAAAGTCCAAAGTTTCTATTTAGCACTAAAATAACTAGGTCCTCCAGTAGAGAGGTTAGAATAAGGGTACTCTTTTTCTGTAGTCGATTTTAGTAGGGGAACCCTCACCCAAAAAAGAAACGGTAAAAGGGCACCTAGCTGGGGGACCTAGACTACAATGGTCCAAGCCCATGTTAGTGGCCAAAGTCCCCGAACGCCATCAAGTTGCCCTGGCACAAGGGCAAGAAAATTGGTCCCCGCGGACATCGTAAAACACAAAGAACATCGAACTCACTTCTAGGGGATGGTTCCCCTTAAATATCCGTTTGCCTTCCCCTTAAAACCAACAGGAGGTTCCCTGAAAAAGACACACCATTCCAGGGCTTGGTTCCTTGTCCATTCTTTTCAACCCTCATTATTTTCAAAAGCCGGATCCGTTTCCCGCGCTTTTGATGGTTTCCTGAAAAGGATCCCTGGAAAGAATGGGGAAGGCAGCCCTAGATTACTGTCACCCTTGGGGTGTGGTCATCCTGAGTCTCAAATGGGTATGGGTCAAAATTAAGCCACCAGGGGACCGCAGATTGTAGTCCATGTTTCCATTTACCAGGGTTCCATTTTGGGTAACTATCTCTGACCCACAGCCAAATCAACTCTGGCAAACTTAACAGTCAGCTTGACTCTTGGAACATGGTCCAGGCCCAGAACCATGTCAAAGTTAAATAGACGTCGAAGGCACCCTGTATGGTTGGGACCGTGCGTTGCTAACCTTCACTTACCCGGGTTTTGATTCTGGCTGACCTAAAACTATCTAGGCGGTGATGTCAGAAGCAGTTGTGGTGAGAGCCGCTCCAAACACGTCATGATCTCGTCAACCTACCAGTGAACGGCACTTCTGGGGCAAGCGGCCTTTCCGTGCTCCCAATCTGTTCAAGCAACCATGGGCGAAACAAGCCCGCCCGCGCTTGCCCTGCTTGGTTGATATCTTGCCAGCCTCGGCAACCGAATTTAATGAGGGGCCACCCCTCCCAATTCCTTTATGGGACGGCAAGATCGGACCGCCCTTTCCACAACTTTCAGAAGACTTTGATCAGAATCCCTTGCTCTCACATCCTGAGTGGATTGGCCAAACAAAAGACTGTTTGGTTGCCACGAAAATACCAAGCCCAAAAAGTGTCTCAAGTCCGAAACGGAACTCCACAAGTGGGTCCATCAGGATCTTCCTACCAAACCTTTCCTCTTGAACCAGAATCGCCATTTGGCTTTTCCATCCTATGACTCGGGATCAAAACCCATCGGCATTAAAATGGTCGTAATCCCAACACCCATGCAACGAATATCAAAAAAGGTGGCGAAGGCATCCAGATAGTCCCTTAAGAAAATCAGAAAACGTGGCGAAGGCATCCAACAATTTCAAGGAAATCGTCCCTTATCCTTCACTTACCCGGAGGCTCCATGACCCTTTAAAAATGGGTCCATGACCCCTTTATTTTGGGTAATGACCAACCATTTTTAGGGTCATGGAGACTCCAGGTACCCGCATTTTGATTGCGCCTACGGGCAGAAACGGCTCGCAACCGGGGGATTCTGTTCGACGTAAAGCCTTCAGCAGGGCTGCCAATTCGTGAAGTCATTGTTCAGGTGTGCACGGAGGGGATTTCGGTGAGAGCGAAGTCTCAAGATAATATTCACTTCCTGGGAGTGGCCAACAAAAAGTTTTGAAACTTGTCATTTATCACTAAAATGGTCTAGGCCCAAAAAGTTTTAAAGTCCAGGAACTCAGGAAGTGAGAAGAGGGTAATGTGTGGGCTTACTTACACCACATTCGCTGATCCTAAACAACTGCTGTCTCGATGTTTTCACCACTCCACCATGTGGGCGCCGCTCGGCTGAAACTTCGACAGGTTTTGGGCGCCAGACGTGACGTCTCTGCTGCAGCGAAACGCGAGTCCAAGACAACGCTCTTGAAGCAATCCACTTTGCAACATATACTCAGCTTGGCGCAATGCTGCAGTATGGAGAGCAATCTCCAATATCAGTGCCGGAGTCGGGAATGGTCACGCTTTCCAATGAGCTACAGCCTTCGAAGGCGCCGCATCCAATCCTAGTCACGGAGAGACAGAATGGTCACGCTTGTCCATAAGCTGCAAATTTGAAAGGCAGCTGCACAACTCTCTGTCACGGAGTTGGGAATGATCACGTTTGTCAATGACCTGCAACCTTGAAAGGCCCAATCTCCAATATCAGTGACGGAGTCGGGAATGGTCACGCTTGCCAATGAGCTGCAATCTGAAAAGGCCTGATCTCCAATATTGGTGACGGAGTCGGGAATGGTCACGCTTGCCCATGAGCTGCAACCTTGAAAGGCACGTGCACGAATCTCAGTCACGGAGTCGGGAATGGTCACGCTTGCCAATGAGCTGCAACCTTGAAAGGCACCTGCACGAATCTCTGTCACGGAGTTGGGAGTGGTCACGTTTGTCAATAAGCTTGCAACCTTGAAAGGCACCTGCACGAATCTCAGTCAAGGAAAGTCGGAAAGGGTCACGATTGTCAATGAGCTGCAGCCTTGAAAGGCACCTGCACGAATCTCTGTCACGGAGTTGGGAGTGGTCACGTTTGTCAATGAGCTGCAACATTAAAAGGCGCCTGCACGAATCTCAGTCAAGGAGAGTCGGAAAGGGTCACGATTGTCAATGAGCTGCAGCCTTGAAAGGCACCTGCACAAATCTCTGTCACGGAGTTGGGAATGATCACGTTTGTCAATGACCTGCAACCTTGAAAGGCCCAATCTCCAATATCAGTGACGGAGTCGGGAATGGTCACGCTTGCCAATGAGCTGCAATCTGAAAAGGCCTCATCTCCAATATTGGTGACGGAGTCGGGAATGGTCACGCTTGCCAATGAGCTGCAACCTTGAAAGGCAGCTGCACGAATCTCAGTCACGGAGTTGGGAATGGTCACGCGTGCCAATGAGCTGCAACCTTGAAAGGCATCTTCCCGAATCTCAGTCACGGAGGTGGGGATGCCCACGCTTGGCAACGAGCAGCAACCTTCAAAGGCAGCTTCTCCAATTTCATCAACGGAGTCGGGAATGGTCGCGTTTGCCAATGAGCTGCAACCTGCAAAGGCCCAATCTCCAACATCAGTGACGGAGTTGGGAATGGTCACGCTTGCCAATGAGCTGCAACCTCGAAAGGCACGTGCACGAATCTCAGTCACGGAGTCGGGAATGGTCACGCTTACCAATGAGCTGCAACCTGCAAAGGTCCCTTTTCCAATATCAGTGACGGACTTGGGAATGGTCACGCTTGCCAATGAGCTGCAACCTTCAAAGGCCCAATCTCCAATATCAGTGACGGAGTCGGGAATGGTCACGCTTGCCAATGAGCTGCAATATGAAAAGGCCTGATCTCCAATATTGGTGACGGAGTCGGGAATGGTCACGCTTGCCAATGAGCTGCAACCTTCAAAGGCCCAATCTCCAATATCACTGACGGAGTCGGGAATGGTCACGCTTGCCAATGAGCTGCAACCTTGAAAGGCACGTGCACGAATCTCAGTCACGGAGTCGGGAATGGTCACGCTTGCCAATGAGCTGCAACCTTGAAAGGCCCAATCTCCAATATCAGTGACGGAGTCGGGAATGGTCATGCTTGTCAATGAGCTGCAACCTGCAAAGGCCCAATCTCCAATTTCAGTGACGGAGTTGGGAATGGTCAGGCTTGCCAATGAGCTGCAACCTTGAAAGGCACGTGCACGAATCTCAGTCACGGAGTCGGGAATGGTCACGCTTGCCAATGAGCTGCAGCAAAAGAATGCATCACCCTCAATCGCAATCGCGTCGCTGGGAATTTCCACCACAAACAAGTCTTCCACCTTGCAGCCGGAGGCTTGGAAGCTTGAGCACACTACCGGCTGGATGCTCAAAAAAGCCAGGACTTCTGTACCTGAAATGGCCTCTAACACCAGCTCATCTTTGTTCAAAAGGGGCTTGTCTCCAACAACCACTTCCACCGAGCTCATGTTGCGCTTTGACTCATCAGCGCAGGGCAACCACCCGTGCAGCTTCCTCTTGAACTCACCAACAGTCATGTCTGTCGACACTTGAAACGCGTCAGCTTGTGCCGACAGCTGTCGCACCCTAATTTCTCTTGCCACAGAATTCTTGGCGAGCTCTCGCCGAGGACACAAGGCTTGCCCTTGACCCATGCCCCAAGAGGCTTCCAAGCGACCTGCGAATGGCCACACCCTGTCTGCAGAGGCAAGCGGTGACACAATGCGGTGGAGGCCTCAAAATGTCGATATCTGGGTGAATATTTGACTGGCCCAAACTTACCACCTACGGAAACCTGCCTTTGGCCACAGCAAAGTCTCATCCCTACCGAGCCTTAGCTTGACGAAAAGGCTGGGCGGGAGAGCAGGGATCCTTACATCATACACCTGAACATTGCCTTGTAAATGGTGGTTTCCCTTTATTTATTTTGGTGGAAAAAGCCATGTTTCAAATGGGCAAAATGGAGATCTTTCAAGGGGCCCTGGCTCGTGGCCAAGACGTCTTGACCCAAAGAGCTACGCTAAAAGTAATACTGCGGATGGCCGAAATCCATTTCGCACCACTTTAAAACCATGGGAAACCAAAATGTGTTGGTATTTACAGCAGAATCATCATTCCAGGGTTTCTTAGGTGGTGCAGGATCTTGTCCATCCACAGTACTTTCCGACTCTATTACAAATATCTAGCTGGCTGGTGATTAGAAACCTGCATTTTGTAACCCTTTGCTTCTTGGTAAAGTGGCTTTTCCAGCCATCCCCTGCTCCTTTGCGATCCCTTTCTTCGCCCAGTCAGTATGATACCCTAAAACAGACCACAGAAACCTGGGCTGCCGACAGATCCCCTGCTAAAAGTGAATGAATGACTTTTAGTGGGGTAAATGGAAACATGCCACTAAACCCTAATGGCTGCGAACCACCAAGAAACCTTCGGAACTATTCACATCAGAAAAGCAAGCATCTCTTCCCATGGGGACTGCTTGGAGCAACGTGCTGCACGAACCCAACAGCTTCCAAAAAGTTCTGCAAATAATAATACACCTGGTAAAAATGGTGTCATTACCCAACGTAAAGGGGTCATGGACCCATTTTTCAAGGGTCCTTAGGGAGACTCCAGGCACGCGCTTGGCAAGGGGTGGGCCAGGGACCCTCCATGGTAAACTGGCCTGTCCTCAGATCCCCCGCTAAAAGTTTAACTTCTAGTGGGTTAAATGGAAATCCCCACTAGACACTAAAAGGCTAAAAAGCTAAGTGGGAGCCACCAAGTAAACCTTCCTTTGGGGTTCCCTCTCCGCTCCCGTCCGCTCCAACCTGAAAAGGGTCGCCCCTCAAACCCCTGACGAACTGCGCCTTCGGTCTCTCAGGTGCCCCTGCCCTAAGTCCTCCAATAAAAAGGAGGTTCGAATAAGGGTGCCCGATTTTTTTGGTTTTGTCTATTTTAGTAGGGGAACCGAATCTCCCAACCCAACAAAAGGGGATAAAAAGGGCACCAATTGCTGGGGGACCTTGCTTGCCCATCTCAGTTCGCAACTCCTCTTGCTAGTGCTCGTTCAATGAGGGAATGAACTTGGGGGTCACCCTAAGGCGAAATTCGGAAAGATCGCGCCGTTCAGAAACTAGGGTTGAAACCATCACGTGCGTTGGTGTTTACAGGGGAAGCCTCCTTCCAGGGTTTCTTAGGTGGTGCGAAATGGATTTCGTCCATCCACAGTTTCCTCAAGGCATTTTCAGCCTAGAATCATCCCCCTGAACATGAACATGCAGCCCCAAGAAGGTGTTCGCCAGATTTGCCAAAATGAAGTTTTCTCCAGAGTCCAGAAATGACAGCTTGTTCCGTTCTTCTGTGCATAGAAGCAGTATACACCTCTGCAAATGAAGAAAACGGTGATTTCATTAATTTAGCACTCTTTAGATACTAACAGAAACATGTACCTACTGTACTGGTAGTTCATTTGGGGACCGGAATAAGCGCTCCATTCACCATGGGGTGAGCTCGCGTCCCCCTCTTGCAAAGTCGCGATTTCACTTGCCCATCCATTGGCGTGGAAACAACCAAATCCAAGCAAGTGAGACGTTGAAGGTCAACAAAAGAGAACAAAGCTGGGCACTTGGGGAACCCCGTAATAAGTGGGTTATAGCTCAAGTGGCTAGCCACTTACTAACTTGGACGAGCACCCAAGCACCCGTCGCAGGTTCTCAGCAGGGAATGAGCTTACAGTTTCCTTTGGGGGGAGCCATTGGTTCATTCCCAACACCTGTTGATTCCTTAGAATCAGCAAGAATAGCGAGTGGCCCCCCGACGGACGTCCCTCCCCGCGCTCCTGCCCCCCGGCCCCCCAAACCCCTGTGCCTAGCCGGGTCGTCCTGTTGGACAATAATCTCTCCGGCCTGCGGGAAACACAAAGTCTGCAGATCTGCCCTTCGCGTAGTGCCCTAAAGGGTACCTGGAAACTCAAAGGTACTTTGAAAATGCGACATTACTCCAAAGTGCATGTTAGGACCAACAAATTTTCTGGTATTTTGAGAGTCCAGGCACATATCAGTGGCAAACATGTGTGGCATCTTTGTTGAGCCGGGAACTGATTCCGTTGCAAACAAGACACTTGAACATTCAAGCCAGCAGCCTCCTTTGAAGCCCCAAGTGGTACAAGTAGCCAACCGTTTTTGAGGGACCCTTTCTGTGCTGGTGCAAAGAGAATTCAAGGCTAAAACCTATCTTGTTTGAGACCCCTGATTTTGACAAGCCATACCCAGCAGTTCTCAGCGAGGCTTGTTTTTTGCCTGAGTCGTCGTAGGCGGCCCTGTGTAAAATTGTCATTTTGCAACTTCTTCTGCGGGGGAGGGGGGGGGGGTTGGGGGGGGGTTCGGGGGGGTGTTACCGTTCGGGCCACATGCAGTTGCACGCACAAACACACAGCCCTGTGCACACAGGTGGAGACCGCACCGGGGCCCTAAGGCGCGCGTGCACACACACACACACGCACACACACACACACACACACACACACACACACACACACACACTTGTAGAGCGAGGCGCACTCGCTGTCAAATCGCACATGCCATGAAAGCAACAACCAATCAAAGGACATCACGAATCAACAAAGCAAACAGCAACACCGGGTCAACAGGTGCAACAAGAAAGGTCGGCAGGCGTGGCCAAGCTTGCATATAACCAGATCAAAGGCGTCTTCGTTGGTAGCGGGCCCAAATGATCTGCCGCTACCCCCTGCAGTGAGAAAAGTTTGCGTCGTGGTCCACACGGCGCTCACACACACACACACACACACACCCACACCCACACCCACACCCACACCCACACCCACACCCACACCCACACCCACACCCACACCCACACCCACACCCACACCCCCACGCACGCACGCTCGCACGCACGCGCGCGCGCGCACTAATTACACAGTTTGCATGATGGGACCTTTGCAGTCTATGTTGTTTTCGCTGCAACTGCCACTCTCGAACAGCAGCCAGATCCATGGCATCACCGTCTACCCCTCCATGTAGGCGGCGAACCACCGCATTTGGGAGTCTGTGTTCTCGAGCATGTTCCGGTATAACACAGCGGGCTGTCTGCGGAGTGCTGTTGGCTTGCTGCCGCGACTTTTGGCCGTGGTTTGTTTTGCTGCTGGTTCCACAACAAACAAATCAACACATAGTGTTTGTCGGCGTGTTTTTCGGGCGTCTGATTTTGCAACGCTCTTTCCCAGTGGGGCATCAACTTTGAGTCACTAAAATACAGGAATTACCAATGACTCCTGGCTTTGCGATAAAACTGGAGTGTGAAGCGCGTGTGCCAGGCGTGGGGCATTCAGCCATTTTGCTGTGTTGCCGCTTTTTAACGACCAAATCGCGCGGGGCCACGAACAACGACTTAGCCTTGTTTTTGGCAGGCGTTGGTTGCCAAAACTAATTACCTGGCGCGCCGAATCTACTTACCACTATCAAAGCCATCCCTCCCCCCCCCCCCCGTTGGCAAGGAGAACACCCCCCCAGAAACCACTTTGACCCCCCAGAAATCGTCAAAAACTACAAACGGCCCCTAAGGGATCCTCATGGGCGAGCACGTGCCCTTGCATGGGCGAGCGTGTCCACCATGGCGATGTTTAATGTGCTTATGTAATATCTACCTGGAGTCTCCCTAAGGACCCTTGAAAAATGGTTTGTCATGACCCAAAATAAAGAGGTCATGGATCCATTTTAAAGGGTCATGGAGACTCCAGGTAGGGTTTATTCCAGATGCTCCCATGGATTCCCTGGAATGTGCGCAATTGGAATCCACAGCATCTAAGTCTAGTAGTCTACCTGGAGTCTCCATGACCCTTTGAAGATGGGTCCATGACCCCTTTACTTTGGGTCATGACCCCATTTTTGATGGGTCATGGAGACTCCAGGTAGTAGTCGGAGAACTGGAACTAGCTCGCGAACTGGTTTTCCGTGGATCCCCGGGCTTTGGCGTGTCTGGTCCATATTGAGGAAACCTCAAAATACAACTGTGAATGGATGACAACTTGCAAACCATGGTTTGTTGGTATTTAGCGGGATTTTGTCCATCCCCTGCTATGAACCTCTAGTTTATGGGTCAATGAACCATTGACTGTGGCTCAAGTATGTCCACCCAGCCACCATATGGGTCACAAAAGGGCAATGGTTCATGTCTATACGTAAAATGCATATATGTGATAATTTGTATTTCCTCAGTACCTGAATTCTCCTTCTGACTCTTTAATCATGGGTCCTCTTTACCCCTTTTGGGCAACGACCCCATCTTCAAAGGGTCCCTAAGAAGGAGACTCCAGGTAGACCTCAGCAGGGCCAGAAGCGCAGACTGCGCCCCGAAAAAAACGAGGCGATCCCGGCTCAGCCGCCGGCCGCGAAAATCTGCTGCTCGAGCTCTCGCACGGTCCGGTCGATGTGCTCCTGGCACAGGCTTTCTGGATGTCGGGGTTGCTAGTCCTCCATTTGCGTTTTCGCCCCCTGGAGAAACAAATCCAATAGTGATAAATCCCCTGTAAAACCAACAAGGGAAAATTGACAAAAGTATTCATTTCAGCAAATGGAAGTAGTTGGTTGCTGTTGAGTTTGACCTTTAATCAACCTTAAACTCTTTGGGTAGAAATAATGGTTCCCCACCAACTAGCAAACTCAATCTGATTCCATGTACCAAGCAAGCAAAGGGTATCCCACCCTTTAACCAGACGAAACATAGCGGCCAAGTTGGTAAGTGGACAGAAACCTGGGATATTTAACCCACTCATACTGTGGATGGTTGCGAAATCCATTTCGCACCACCTAAGAAACCCTGGTTTCTGATGATTCTCCTGTAAATACCAACAAATTGTGGTTTCCCATGGTTTCAAAGTGGTGCAGGATTTCGTCCATCCACAGTAAGTCCCACGAGTGGAGCTGGCCTGGTTGTACATTGGTTACAGCCCCGGTTACTCGTCACAGACTAACTTGGCGAATCGAACACCCAAGATACTTCTACTAGGTCCTCCAGTAGAGAGGTTAGAATAAGGGTGCCCTTTTTTTCTAGTCTATTGTAGTAGGGGAACCCTCCCCCAAAAAAGAAACGGTAAAAGTTGGCACCCATCGCTGCGGGACCTAGGTGGGATCGATCTCGGCCAACCTGCTCCCCGAGATTCTCTGCAGGAAGCCGACTGGGAGCTAGGTAAGAGTCGCTTTGAAGAAAAGGTCCTTTGCGGGTAAACCAAATGTGTCACAAGTAAACAGCGTTCCTTTGGTTCGTTTTTTTTTCATTCTGGAAAAAATCATCGCTTCTTCCCAGCGGGCAACGGCAACCGTGTCATGCAAAACGTCAGTCTTGTCAATCAAGCATCGCCAACAAGACACAAATATCCGCCCATTTGGGGACACGCCCCTAATTTGGGGGGCTTCAAACTAAATGGTACCCTTCCTCGCACTAACACAGCCAGAAACGGTCCCTTCAATCGAAAAACAGATCGAATCCAGGCAGAGGACGTGTTCCCTTTGAGACTTGTGGCACCGGGTGGGCCCAGCAAGGCCAATGATCCGCTCAAGAAGTATGAGCTCCTTAAAGAACCCCCCCTTTTACCCGGAAGATACAAAGGGACCCAGACAATCCATGCAAAAAAAAAAAACATATCGCATTTACCCTCCAAATGCGTGAAGCGCTGGCACATATTACCTACATGGATTGTGTGGGGATGGTTCTCTGCCTGGGGAAAGTCGAGATGCCTCGTAGGGTTGCAAACATGGGCGCTGTTTCCCGGTTTCTGCCGTTGACCGAGCCTCAGAGCTTAAGACCCGTACTGTGGATGGCCGAAATCCATTTCGCACCACCAATGAAACCATGGGAAACCAGTAGTCGTTGGCACTCACTGTAGGGCTCAGGCTGGAAACAAAAAGAACAAGAACATAGGGGAACCACTGGATGTCTGGTACTGTGGATGGACAAAATCCATTTCGCACCACCTAAGAAGCCTTGGAATGGTCTGATTCCCTGTAAATACCAACAGACAGTGGTTTCAACCATGGTTTCTTAGATGGTGCGAAATGGATTTCGTACCCATCCACAGTATTGACCGAAACCTTTAGCCTTTCAATGCGCAGGCTGCAACTTTTTTGTTTCCGGCCGCGCTCACGGGGCTGCGGCCGCGTCGCTACGCCGTTTCCTGGGGCACCAGCTTTTGCAGGACTCGCATTGCTTGCGTGGCATCCGAAAAAAAGCCATCATGAACAGGGATCCTCAGCCCAGAAGCCATGGTTCAAGAAGTAGAAAGGCGGAGATCAGCAACTATTTCTGGCGACTGCCCCTTACTAACCTAATCATCTACCCGGGTTTTGATCCTTACCCAAAAAGAAAGGGTGAATGGACCCATGTTTCAAGGGTCAGATGGAGACTCCAGGCACCCACAAACAGGGATCCGGATGCATGAAATACGCCGATACATTGCAACTTGTCAATGGCGGCTTCCAACTTTATGTTGGAAGAAGCAACATGTTTCAAATGGTTGCCACATGTATCTTTTAAGAAGCCCTGAATGAAGGAGCCTCCTTTTGGGGAACGCCCCTTTTTGGCAACCATGACTTAGTTAGAGGGGACTCTGGCCGTTGCAGGCGAATGTCATCTGCGCCACATACGGGGTCGTTGGTTTTGACGTACGCGAGCCACGCGAGTGTCGGTACGACCGAGAATGGAAGAAGCTGGACAAACTTCTAGGGGTACCTCCCCATTCTTTCCAGGGGTCCTTCTTTCTAGAAAACCTCCGGAAACCCGGGAAAACGGATCTGGTTTTTGGAAAGAACGATGGCTGAAAAGAATGGAATCGGAATCAACCCCTAGAAGACTCGTTGGAAGCAAACATTGACTGGGTTCCCCCCCCTCCCCTCCACCAGGAGAGCCCACATCCCCCATCTCTGAAAAGGTTCCCATTGTCTGTTACACCCTGGGATTAAACCCTAGGGAAACTAGCCAAAATAACTCCAAATAAACAAAACCAATCAGGCTTTGTCTGCAAGGGTGATTCCCCGGGCGTAATCCCAGTGCAGTAGGAAAACCCTTGGAGAAACTATGGAGACCCCCGTCCTTCTCACAGTGGGGAACCAGCCCTTTAATTTACTAGAGGCTTGGTTGCTGCAACGACAATCCAGACAAATTGCGGTGAATCCGGGAAAAGTGGATGTTCCCCCAAGTGTCACTCAACTACGCCGGTCTTTCCCCCCGAGCCAAAAGATCCCTGTGTTTGGAGCCTTGGAGACTCAATGGAAAATCGTATAGCTCTAGGCAAACGATCATGACTTGGTTGCTGCTGTTGACCCCCTGCAAAAAGTGAGAATCACTTTTTGGGGTTTAGTGCAAAACACCACTTTATTACCCCAAAAGTTAAAGTCGAAAGATCCAACCCAATAGCAGTCAGGGTCGAAGGTGTTACAAATTTGACACCAGACTCCGTCGCAGGGAACTGAGGGAGTCCAGGAAAACCAGGGAATCCAGGGAACCACTGCCCTTTGGCTATTCTTTCGGATGGGAATGAACCGGAAGGGGACTCCCTTAAAAAGCAGCCGCCAGCTAAATAGGGGGGGGGTCATTCCATGTCTCATTCCCTGCCGATCGAGTTGGTGGCTTGCTGGGTTGGGAACAAATGGATCCACTGATACACCAAAAGAAAAACCATCTCTTGATTGATCTTGCTGCTCAAGGAATGACCTTCCGGGTGTTGTTGGAATGAACGCAGGGTCCCTGAAAGGAAACCAAGAGGGATCTTCTATTGGGTGCTGAGCACCAAGTGAAGTTCCCATGCGGGGGAACTGCAGCCTACGTCGTACAATCAAAACATGGTATTGACACGGTCCAGCCAAAGCCATGCACATGTGTCGCTTAATTGTTTGGCGTCTGTTTCTTGAGAAACTTTCTTGGGAATCCAAAATGAAAAAGCGATGCCATTCTTTGGGGGGGGGGGGGGCAAAAAAACGAAGAACACAAAACACGCCAATGTCCCGAGAATCAGGCCGGATGTGTGCCCTGGTTGACTCCCTTTGAGGGCCCAACAAAAACCAATATACCTGGAGTCTCCATGACCCTTTAAAAATGGTTGGTCATTACCCAAAATAAAGGGTCATGGACCCATTTTTTAAGGGTCATGGAGACTCCAGGTACCTATAGTAGCTTTCCTCTCGCTGGTTTGGTGTGATGGTTTGGAGCTTAGTTTGGTGGTCACGAGGGTTCCACCAGGGTTCCACCAGGGTTCCACGAGGGTTCCACGAGGTTCTGCGAGGGCTGCGGGGTGGTGCGAGCACTAAAAAGAGCACCGCATGCTGTTGGGGATATCACTTGAGCTTATTTCTTTAGTCCATGTTAGTAGGGGAACCTCCCCCAAAAAAGGGTTAAAGCGCACTACTGGGGGACCTAGTCACTTGGAAACTGTGTGACTGGCCATCCACGGGGTCCTCGGAAACCGCGGAGCAAACAGTTCGCCAACTTGCAGATGTTGCCGCCACATTTGTCAATTGTTTGGTGTGTGTGTTGTTTGGAACATGTTGACGGATTATGTTCGGACCCTGACGCACAGTGCAGAATTGTCTGCATTTGCGAATACGTCAAGAAATGAACATATTTCCAGTCATAGATTCCCTTTAACACCAACAAGTGAACACGACAAATCATAGTCTTAAGCAAATAGCTCCATCTTTTCTTGAGGGTATACCTTGCCTTTAAAAGGGAAGCCAAAGGGAAACAACCACTTGGCTGTTCGGCCAAGTTAGTAAGTGGTAAGCCAGCCCAGCGGCGTCAAGCCAGTCATTTGAGGAGCATAACCCAGGTGGCTAACCACTTCCATGGCGAATGGAACACCCAAGCAGCTTTTCTGAGCAGCTCCGTCGCTCGGGAACCCTGAAACCCTGCGCTCGGCTCCTGGCACCTCGCCGTAATCCAGGATGCCAAGCTGGCGTAGGGCTCGAAGCCTATGCGAAATGGGGTGCTGCTGTGAGTCTTCGCGCTGCCAAGAAACAAAACAAACAACGCCAGTGTATATGTGTATATGCGTATAATAGGTGTATGTAGGTTATGTTATGTTGTGCTGTGCTGTGTTGTGTTGTGTTGTGTTATGTTATGTTATGTTATGTTATGTTAGGTATGCTATGTATGTTATGTATGTTATGTATGTCATGTATGTCATGTATGTCATGTATGTCATGTGGGTCATGTATGTGGTGTATGTGGTGTATGTGGTGTATGCTACGTATGTTGTGTTATGTTATGTTATGTTATGTTATGTTATGTCTGTCTGTGTGTGTATGTATGTATGTATGTATGTATGTATGTATGTATGTATGTATGTATGTATGTATGTATGTATGTATGTATGTATGTATGTATGTATGTATGTATGTATGTATGTATGTATGTATGTATGTATGTATGTATGTGTGTATGTATGTATGTGTAATTATACACATCTATGTGAACACACGTCTCTTTAATATGTTCTCGCGCACTCTCTCTCTCTCTCTCTCTCTCTGTTTCCCTGTATTATATAAATATATGTATACGTATCTATATATATAAATATATATACATATGTATAAGAAGTTGTTTGTGCAAGCTTGTATATAAATGCATTTGCACACCGTAGAAAAAGGCCTCGGAACTTGTTCCTCGCGGTGTTCATGTTTCATGGACGGGCGAACTGGGGAGGAGGGGCTATCCCTTATCAACTCTTTCAGAAGTCCTTATTCAGGGATTTCCTTGACTTATCAAAGGATGGCCCCCCCCCCGACCCTTAGCCCCCCGGCCTCCACCCCTAGGGGTCCATGCATGTTTAGTGTAACACCGAACAAACGCGGGGAAAAAGGGTGAGATGCCCAAGCAAACCCTTAGCTTTTGGCCCTCAACCGAAAAACGCATATGTTTGGTTCTGGTCCATATTGAGTGAACTGTAATTGTGAAAACCAATTCAAAAAGACTCCAAATCCAAAAAGATGAGTTTGTCTCAAAATAGAGGATACCCCCCCTCAAAAAAAGAAAGCAAAAACAAACAAAAAACGAATTCTAAGAAACATGTAGCTTTCCTGGTTGGGTGCCTTAAGACACGCTCCACCACCTGTCTGACCGGGACCGGCGGATCCATTCCCGGCCTTCGGGCCAAAGATTCTCAGGGTCCGCCACCAGCGCCACGTCCGGCATGGTGCCTTCGGCGCGTGGGCGGCCGAAGGAAGCCTAAGGAAGCCTAAGAAGCCCTAGGGAACCCCAAAGAAACAAACAAAAAGCAAGGAACTGGAAGGAACCACCTAAAATCCACTAGGTCCTCCAGTAGAGAGGCTAGAAAAAGGGTACCAACTTTTTTGTAGTCTATTTTAGCAGGGGAACCCTCCCCAAAAAAGGGGTCAAAGGGCACTACTGGGGGACCTAGCCTTCACTTTCAGGGCAAGCACACACACGAAAAAATCACGAATGTAAGGAACCTAGGACCTCTGTGGCTCTCAACTACCCTTGGGTGCTTTGGGGACCAACATGGAGTTCCGGTTTTGTTTTGGGCTTCCTCTAAAACCACAAACAATGGTCCTACTAAGACTATTTTGAAAGCTTATATAGGCCTTGCCTTACTGCAACCTTCAGATGCAGTTACCTCCATAGGTGACCGCCTGTGAACCAGCCTGTGAAACCCCAAGGTATGTTGCCATCAGGTTTGCACACATCGATTGAAGCACAGGCGAGGGGCTTATGCACGAGAGGTTCAGGTCGAAGAAGAGGAACCGCCCATCTCCAACATCCAAGACCTCGATGCTGCCCCAGTTTGCCTCAGACGCGCTCACTTCCCGCCAGGACAAACACTCTCTCTCTCTTGCTCCACTTGGAGTCTCCATGACCCTTTAAAAATGGTTGGACATTACACAAAATAAGGGGGTCATGGACCCATTTTTTAAGGGTCATGGAGACTCCAGGCAGCTTTGTGCCGACAACTTGCAAACAAAAATCACCTGCCGGATTGTGACCGGGGCAAACTAAGCTTGCGGAGCTGCATCCTGAGTCTTCTTCTGAGCACAAGCTTAACTTGTTGCTCCAGACTGAATCGCGAAAATTCCTCCCTTCTTGCCATGCACGGGGGCCCCAAGGATGAACTTGCTGGCTGAAACAGGAAAATTTGAAGCACCCTCTTTCCACTCATGGAAGTGGAGGAACACACGGGGGCTTCCCAAGGAACGTCTTCCAAACCGAATCCTCCGATCAGCTTCCAGTGCCGAGAGGGTAGTTTAACTGGGAGCACATAAAATCCCAACTCCCGCCTCACTTGGATGTTCGGCCAAGTTTGTAGGTCGTCACTTGGGTTAAGCTATGGGTATGCCTTTTTTGAGGGCACCTTTCTTGGCTGTGCTTTTACAAGGAAACTAAAGGGAAAACCCACCATTTCATGACACGTCTCACACACACCCTTTTACCCACCTAGCCAAGCTAACAACACACGGGGGACTCAAAAGATACGGTAGCAGACCCGACCGGGCCTTCTGAAAGGCATCTGGGGCTCCCATGAAAACTTCAGGCGTCCGGTCGGCAGAAGTGTACCTGGAGTCTCCTTCTGACCCGTTAAAAATGGTTGGTCATTACCCAAAATAGTGGGGTCATGGACTTACTTTTGTAAGGGTCAGAAGGAGCCTCCAGGTACGTAATTGTTTTGAGTGGTTGGACCGGACATGCTGGACAAAAGTCGGTGAGGATTTATGCCAACAACTCTTGAGGCGGGTCCTTACTAAAATTCATAACCAAGTGGAAAAATGGCAAACCCTTTGCTTAGGAAAGAAGCAACCTTGGACCAATTTGGGGGTTGGTCATGTTAAGGCTCGCATTGTGGGCACTTTCTGAATGGAGGATTGTACGAACAAAGGCCCAACTGCTTGCCTTCCTCCAAAACGAGCATGTTTGTGAGGATCGCCCCCCTGTTCGTTTTTTTCCGGTTGTTTTGTCTCAAGGGCAGAACAACTTTGTGGGCCTTGCGCTAACACAACACTTCCATTTGCTTAAGACCCCTGGGAAACATAGTCCAGTAGTGACAAAAAATCTAAAACCAAGAAGGGAAAATCAACAATATTCTTAAGCAAATATTGTTTAAACAAAAAAAACATCAGTAGTGATCAATTCATTTTAAAACCAACAAGGGGGAACTAAAAATAACCTTCTGCAAATATTGAACATATGTCACGTAGTGATCAATTCCTTTTAAAACCAATCAGGGGAAACTAAGAATATCCTTCAGCAAATATTAAAAAACAAAAACAAAAAGTTATATACATATATGTCCAGTAGTGATAAACTCCTTTTAAAACTGACAAGGGGAAACTAAAATATCCTTCAGCAAATATATATATATATGGTGGTTGTTCTAAATTCCTTTGTCTCGAAACGGCCATTCTTCGCGAATAAAAAAGTTACTTTCGCGAATCTTTCGCGGATTCATCGCCGTGCCCTTTTCCTTGCCCAAGTCAGAAAATCGCTGATTTTAAGTGCCAGCGTAGTGCGCGAAATTCGATTCCCCAACTCCCGCTGTAAAGTCGCAACTTTCATCACAGGGGTAGTACATGACATGCACGGGCTGGAAAGACGCAGCTTTTCGTAAGCCGTGCAGCTCCAGCTTAAAGTCGCAACTTTCCAGTACCAAGCTGGTATACTGACAAGCGCGGCGCTCAGAAAGTACCTCCCCCTTACAATCGAAGCCGCTTTCGCGGGGGCTTTCGCGGATCTTTCACGGAACTTTCGCGAAAAACCACCCATGTTTCAGAGCGGAAAGGCGCCGAGTAAACACCCACAGGCACACATACACAGGCTTGGGGCACTAACCAGCCCAGCAGGGTATCAAACTGTAGCCTCACCAGGCTTTTTCGGCGCAAAATCAACAAAGTGTTGTAATCAGAGCAGAAGGAAGGCTCAGCAACAAAGATGAATGGTTTCACATATCATTGATTTACAAGACACAGTTACGCAAAACTTTCGCGAGAAAAAAAGTTACTTTCGCAACTCCATCGCGACTCTTTCGCGGAGCTACCTCAACCAACACCGATGGTCACCGAATACTAAACTCCTTACAAGGACCTTTAGAACGACTCCCATATATATAAATGTCCAGTAGTGATAAATTCCATTTAAAACTAACAAGGGACAACTAAACATATCCTTCAGCAAATATTTTAAAGAATAAAACAAAAATGTCCAGTGGTCATAAATTCCTTTTAAAACCAAGAAGGGAAAATCAACAATGGACACATAAACCATATTTCCAGAAGTGATGAATTCCTTTTAAAACCAAGAAGGGAAAATCAACAATGAAAAAACCATCCAGAAGTGATGAATTCCTTTTAAAACCAAGACTGGGGTGGCCACAGACCCTTGGCGAAAAATATTAGATTATTCTTGGGGATGCAAGGTTAAACCCTCATTGGTCCGGCAATGTGCAAAGTTAAGCCCTCATTGGTCCGGCAATATGTGCAAATGAGCAACCCTAATAACTCCTGCATCTTCGTTTGCGCGGAAAAATATGTGCAATCATGAGGTTTGCACGTTTTGTGGGTTGTTTGCACGTTTTTTCCCCATTTGCGCGTTTTTACTCTGATTGCGCACTTTTTCCGCCAAAACAAGATGTTGTAGAAATGGTCCCGAAAACACTCATACACAACCATGTATAAGACCCATAGTCGTCATCTAAGACCTGGTTTTCCCTCTTCCCTTTCCCCTTTCGGGTGTGTGTGTGTGCACGTGTCGCGCAAGGTCAGCCACCCAGCGAGAGCGTGCTGAGCATTCATCCGCCTGGCACCGGCTGGCATGGGCTCAGGGGGTCGGGGAGCGGGGGCGGTGAACCTACATAGCTAGTCTGTGGTGCGACCTTTTAAACATGGACAAATCGATGTTCCATTAGCTTCCCAAATTGGCGGATCTACTCTTGCCAGGGAGGAAGAGCAACCAGCTAACTTTATAGGTCTAGAAGCTTCAAACGACAACCTAGCAACACCATGCAACTTGAGGGCTAGCTCCAGATTGCATGGGCTTGCGAGCGCAGCTATGGGCCGATCTCGTCACACCGGCCTGCTTTGTACGTGCGTTGGTTGAGTATGCCTCCCTGCAGCTAGCAGTCAATCTGCACGTGTTCAGAAGAAATTGGCTCAAACAACCCGCGGATTCAGGTTATGGCTGGCCATGCAGTTGTAAACGCATGGATGCGGTTGGACAAGCTGGTAGAAGCTGCTAGCATGGGTAAGATTGCTGAGGTAGTTGAGGATCAGGAAGAGGCCTTGGAGCTGAATTTGGACATTCTGGCCCCATTGATCAAACACGTTGGCCTCTTGAATGCACATTGCTACTAGCTAAGATGCATGTGCTTGGGTGCTCCATCCTGCTTTAATTGCCTAGGATTGCGGCCAGGGATCGATGCGATAGAGGAAATATGTGACGTGTTCCTGAGACGCTGCCGTCCACGAGGGAAGGGTTTCTTCTCCCGAGTCCTGCTCGAATCTAGTGATGTGCTTTGAGTTTCCTGCACACGGCTGTGGAGCTGCATGCAACCATGTCCACGCACTCAATTTAGGAACGGTAGCCAACAACGAAGCTTGGGTGCTCAGAAAGCTCATATACCATTTCAAGCGATCACATGCAACACGGCCTCATCGCCCACGGTCCCCGGAAATCCGACAGCTTTTTGAGATGGCTGACATCCCAACTCCTTGGACCAGTTCCTCATCTGAAATACTTGAAATTGCCACTGCCCGCTTTTTAAGATGTAACATTTGATATTGTCCCTGCATGCCCCTGCTCAGGTAGTGAGCCTGTCTCAGACACTGAGCCACCTGAATCTCTTGCAGCAGAAGAAGATTCCGAGTCTGAAGAACCCCGTGCAGAAGACCCACTGGTTGTGCATACTGGTGCCTTTACTCTACATAGCTCATCAAGATCGTATACTTAATTTTTACGCTTGCATGCTGTGTGTGTGTGTGCCTAAGGTGAGGAGTCTGACCCAGTGACCCCTACCCCCAAAAGCAGCTCAGTTGCAAGGGACCCTTTGGACCTGCGGACACGGACTTAAAGTTCAAACTGCCTGCCCTGAAAAACCTTGAGGCTCTTTGAAATCGATGGGGTCGTTGGACTCCCTTCCCAAGCTCCCCAAGCCGACCGAGACGCCCGAGCCTGTCCAAGAGAAGATGGTGCCTGCGAAGGACGCCAGTCTTTCACCCGAGGGGCGCCGCAAGCAGTTGGAGACGCTCTTGGAGGAAGAGCTTAAGTTGTTGGAAATGCTCCAGCAGCTTCACAAACAAGAGGAATCAAAATCCGTTCCGGCCATCGCCCAGCATGATCTGCCAGCATGCATCTTATCTTGCACTTAACGCAAAAGGTGTCATACCCAATGCATCCCAATGGGGTTATTTGTTGAAAAAAGGCTTTGGCCAAATTGCCCAGGCACCGACATCAACAACTTGGAGACACAGCCATTTGAGTTTCAGCAGTCGCAGGTTGCTGCCCTGATCTCATCAGAATCAGGCGGTCAAGCTGTAGCCTCAAGCTCGGCAAAGAGAGGAGACCCTTTCATGGAAGCAGCCACTCTCAGTCTGGCAGACTTGCACGAGACGAGTAATGCAACGGCCATCACCCACACCCACAAGCCCACAGACACGCAGAAGCTCGACAAGGAGGAGACCAACACCAGTGCGGACAAGATCGAGCCCCAGAAGCTGATTGACACGATCGCCAGCGGCACAGTCATGCGCACGGACATCGCCAAGGAGGACACAGCCAAGCCTGCAGACGCCAAGACAGAACAAAG